TGGGCTAGGCTGAGATGCTGCTTTGGGAAAGCTGATAGATGTTGCAATCCTTCCTATTACTTCCCCTCTGGGACTGACATACAACCTACACAAGCCACGACTGCAGCTTGATTTTGGGTGGGGACCACACAACTTACTACTGGGAGGCCCAAATATGCACTGTTTATCAAATCAATTTATAATTATCCATTATTGTTAAAGTCCACAACATGTAAATATTGAGTTTTTTCCATCGTCCAGGTGAGAAAACTAAAGTCTAGAAGAGTATATGAGTTCTCCTGTCTCTCACAGTGGCTTTTTTTGCAGAGCCAAGGGGAGATCATGCTTTCTGACCCCTATAGCCCTGCTGCACACTCAAGAAAATACTTGTACATGGCCATGCCTACTCCTTCCTAGCTGCCTCCAAGAGGTGGGTTTCTCCATCCCGGATGGTGCTGTAACCCCCTGTAAAAGCACTTTCTCTAAAAAACACTGCTACTACTGGAATATGGCAATGCCAGGGCAGGAAAAAACCCTTGTATTAGAATTGACCTTGTCTCCACTCCAGAGGTACTTTGGGAATTATTCTATTTGGGGGGGGGGGGGCAGGTGGTGGGGAAAGCAGCCTCCAAACGTGATTAAAACATTGTTTTCTGAGAGACATGCTGTTCTGACCCTCTGGTTAGGTATGAAAAAGGGCACTGGGAGCATTCGCACCACTGGCACATGAGTCACTCCTAAAAAATCTTTGAATGAGAGAGATTGTATGGATAGTGCCGCTCTCTCACCAACAGCACACGGCAAAAACTCCGGGCTGTCACCTCATGGCTGAAGCTGGGACCCAGCCCTGGCTTTGCTGATCCCAGCTCCAAGCACTGCTTTTAGCTCAGAGGCTTTTGGATAGAATAGTGCTGCTCACCTGAACACTGGGATGATCAGGATCAGGAATTGCTAATAACTCTCATAAGCACTGAAACAGTAGTTTTCTGTCCTCAAATTGCATCTATTTATAGAAAGAAGCATCAAAAAGCATAATATTCCTGCAGTAAAGCTAAGATTGTTTTTTCTTCAGCAAGAAAATATGACCACGTGTTTACATAGCATGCTTCTTTCCACAGTATGCTTTGTGAAATCAATCCATTAGGTGGTTACAAACACTGAGGAGAATTCAGACCCTCTGAGATCTGCTGTCTTTTCCACCTGCAGCATGTGTCAATGTGTGACGTGTGCTCTCTATTCCGTTGTTTTCCTGGCTGTTGAGTAGCAAGGCTTAGTTGCTTGCTTCAGGGTTCTGTATAAGTAACAATGCAGAGCATTTATTTTTTTAAAGGCATTTTCTGTGGTCTAATATTTGAATTTTTACTACTTGGTTTTGTTTTTTTTTTTTTTATACAGTGCTCCTTGCTTTTGTAGCTTGGATTTCATGAGAACCTTGAAAAAAGAAATATAACCTTATTATTGCATCTTCTATAGTGGAAATATAGTTCTCATATAAATCTTGATATATTTTATAGTCAAGGGACTAGTTTGTTATACTTGTATTTCGTATGGATCCCATAAGACTTACAGAAATAAGGAACGCAAAATAGACCTTTCCCATCAAAGCATTCCAAGTTTATACACCTAAACAATAGACCAACTGCAGCAGCAAGCTGTCCCACTGCCATTCCCAAAACAGATGGCTCAGATGTTGCTTGTATAGCTAATCAAGTCACAGAAACTCTTTGACAGAAGAATTACCTTGAATTAGACACATGCTGTCTCTAAGTGTACCTGTGTTGGCAGTACACATTTTTTTCTATTGCACATTATTTTCTGAGCCTGCTTTTCCAAGATAATAAGGAGTACACAGTCACTTTGTCATTCCTTGCTCTAATGACTTTTAAACCTATTGGTCAAGTTCTACAAAACTCAGCTTTTAGACGCCTCCTACATTCACCCAGGTTTCATGTAAACAGGCAGCTGGGTAGGAGAGGTGATGAATGCTCCTTCCCCCTCCGGGCCTCCTCCCATCCAAAGGAAAACTGGTAATGTTCTTTGAATTACGTGCTTAGCACTAAAGATTCAAACTGAAATGGGCAGGATAATAGGTGTCCAAACTGCATTTCAAATAGCCCGTGTTAGGATCTCAAAACACAGCACAAATCTGTAGTTCGGTCTTCTCCGGTAATTCTCCAAAGAATCTCTCGTTTCACTGCACGCAGAGGAAAACTGAAGCAGCACATACGAACATCTGAGGTGAATGAAATGCCTCCTTTAACTCTGTAACTGTCAGCCTCTCCCCTTCTCCAACAATTAGGCAATATTTCCTAGAGGGTGTAACGTTTGCTGAAAGTATTTGCAGTGCCGCAGGTTGCAACAGCGCGTCCTCCCACTCGGTGCAGTTTTCTCTGCGACCAGAGAGATGAGGTTGGGTGGGTTGGCCGTGAGAGGTAATCCAGGAAGGTTGAAGGTAAGGCAAGGACAGGATCCTGACTGGCTCTGCGGGAGCGCTGGAGCTAATCCGAGGCATTGTGCACCAACAAGAAAATACAGAGAATGTTCTTGAAGGTCACTGTGACCCTCAGGGAGGAGTGCCAGAGTATTCACACCGGCTTGGCACGTCCACATTGGAGGATGCAGGGCCAACCCAGGGAGACTGAATCTAAGCCAAATTCCACCTTCCACCAACTTTTCCCATCCCTCTTGGTTGGGTGGAGGAGTTACCACATAAGAAAACACAGGTTTGCTGCTGGATTTTCGTTCTTCCTCCCTTGTAGTTTTAATTGCGAGGAGCTGTTTGTGTTCCCTGAAAGGGGATCTCTCTCTTCACAGAGCAGATTTTGGCATCTCAGGTGCTGCTGGCAGATGTGGCAGGCGTTTTCTGGGTAGGCCAATAACTGACCTGTTGTCTGCGGTTGGAAGACTGAAAGCCTGGCAGTAAGTGCAGACCTTTCCAAGCTTTACCTTCCGATGTTAACCCTGGAGATGACCTATTCTTTGTGCATATCCAGCTGAGGTCACAAAAAACCCCACGTTATTTTTTTTCTCCTGCATCTGCAGGACAGAAAAATCTATATATAGAGAGGACTTTAAGACTACATAAATAGGCCTTTCTGTGTTTGCATTTTTGACTGAGACTTCGTAAGTGTCAAAATCCTTTTTATAGATATTTTGGTAGCACACAGCAGCTGCCTGAAAAAATCAAGGTCCCATTGTTTTAGCCACTTTTCACTGCACTCAGATAATTAATGGTCTAATACAAACAAAAATGTGAGGGAGGAGACTCTCTTATAGAATCAGTGATATGTCATAGTCATAAATTGGTTCATTTAGTCATGAAACTGGCAATGGATACAGTCCATTTGGTTAGAAGTTTGTTTTGGAGAAGCATTCAAAACCATAGAGTCATTTCTTTTCCATACTTTCCCCAGCATTCTCAGACTCCTGGAAACACATATAGGACCTTATGAGGTTTGGGGTGAAGAGGGGAATTCAGGCCTCTCTCTTCTCTTCTCTTCTCTCCTTTCTTTTCCTTTCCTTTACACCCAGTTAATCCCTGGGTTATTGCAGGCTCAGCTCATCAGTAGCTGCAGCTTAGTGACACAGTAAAACTATTCAAGGGATTCAATAACCAATTACAGGGAGTCTTCTAGAAGAAATCTCTGTATTTGGCAGTTATCTCACACTATCATTAGCTTATTCCCCCTTTTAAATATATGATTGAATTTATGTCTTTTGTATAAATCAGAGTAATTTTGTATCAGTGTAAGCTGTGTTTTGACAGTGTCCTCACTGCCTATAAGGTGAATTTGCAGGTGTGCTTTTGATCACAGCTGGCATGCAATTTCCATGGAAATATAGTGATTGTTCCTCCTCAACATGCTTTGGCTCAACTCTTGGGTGGTCTGTGAGCTCACAGACTGGATTCTGTTTGGACGGAGCTGAACTGGGGAAGGCACTTGCCCTGTCCCACTAGTAACGGATGGCACTGAAGCTCTGGTGTCCACAGGGCATGTGATATGGAAAAGGTGTACAGCCTCTCTCTGCAAATCCACTGCTATTGCTTGGATATATTTGCTGATGCAGACCTTACCTTTGCACAGAGCAGTTTTGGGGCTCACAAGGGCTGCCTCAGCAGCTGCCGCTGGCCTCTGAGTTGCTCTTCAGAACTCCGTAAAAGGATTTGTCTCTGGTCACTAAAAGAAGGACTTATGATAATTTAGGGTGCTAATTTGGCCCTGTTACCAGTTTTCATGATTTGATCGAGTCTTGGCAAATTTAACAGCACACACTGCACTGGGCCAAGTCCAGTACTGAGCATTAACAAAGTCCTACAAAGTACTGAGCTAGGCAGACTCTGCTTCAGAAAGGAAAACTGCATTATAGACAAAATATATATTTTTATTGTCCTATTGGTGATTGTGCACTGGAGAGAATGAAATTGGAACTTCTGGTTTGCTATCCGGAGCAGAGCAAGTGGCCAGGGTGTCTCAAGCAGAGGTAAAGCCTGGCCCTTAGAAGACTTGAGGAAAGCCACAGAAGAGTGAGAAAAAATGGGCCAGTCAGCAAACACTCTGAGAACTGAGCTGCTTTTCCTATTTTTCTGTTACGCAGTTCTACTCGGATACACGCACGCCGATTCGCTCAGCAGCCCTCCTGTAACACTGCCACTGGATAGCTTTATCTGAAAGCACACACATTTGTGGAAACCCTTTACATTTTTAACATCAGAAGCCCTTGTGTGATTACCAGCCGTAGCCAGGCGGCTGTTGCCAGGGGATCAGCCTGTGTTTGGAGGCTGGAGGCTTCCTGGCCCTCCCAGGCAGGCACAACGGAATCTCAATATACATAAAGCAGAAGCAGGCTGGGTTTCTGAGCCTCCACTTGCTGTTGTGAATCCACCGTTCTTCAGTCAATGAAATAAAGCAGTCTGTACTCCTCCAGAGTGCAAACCTGATCTATCGTGGGACGGTTTGGTTCTTTAGAATCTGTTTATGTCCTGACTAGAAGTCAAGTGCAAGTTCTTCGAACTGAAGGCAGGGCAGGGAGCAGTTAAAGCTCTGCTGAAGTATTCAGAAACTGCTGAGCAAAGGTTAGATTTTCCATTACTTTTTGTTAGCTTAAGATATGGTTTTAGTCCCTGAAAGAAGGGGCTAAAAGGCAAGAATGTGGTTGTACAGAATGCCTCTCTAATCTCTGTGAAGATACGGTACAGAGTGATTTATCAGTAAGATGCTGAAGCCATTTTGTGTCATCTAATGACAGCAGTGCTGACCTACAAGCTAAATAGCTATTTGCATCTATATTATGATATTTGGAATGAATGTTCCAGGCCCTTACTCCAAACATGACTTGGAAAATCCTCAAAGCCTCCTCTCTGAGATCTCATCAGATCCCCCAAACTGGGCAACCTGCTGTCATCAGATATACTTTTGTAAAACCACTGAACTGTTTTTTAGAGTTGTTGCAGAACAACTGCCTCTCCAGACAAACAAGATGATGTTTAAAATGTTGTTCTTTGATATAAAAGGCTTTCCATAAATTCTGGATATAGCAGCACCATCTCTTTATTCTCACTAGCGATCACTGTGTTAGTACCTGTTACTAAGAAGGTGCTAGAGAGACGTATGTCATATTAAACCGACAGACATAAGGAGGAGGCTTTTCCCTTACTGCAGATTTTTTTTCTACTGTTTTAAAATCCTTTTACTTTCCCAGGAGAGTGTGTAAAATAACTTCTGTAAAACTTAGTATCTGGATGCAAAGGCACACACAAGCTGTGAGGCCACTGAGTGCATTAATTCCTCATAAGCAGTTATTTGCTCAGTTTGAGTCCTTCAGCTTCACAGACAAGTGACATGTAAGTGCTCAATAACTCGAGAAGAGAAACTTCTGAAAAGCTTTTATCCTAAAATAAAGCTATAGAAAGAGGCTGGGATAAGAAACAAGCAAATAGTAGAACACCAGCAGAGTAGAAGAGCTGCTTTTGCCCGAGAGGAAGATTTCTGCTTTTGGTGTTCAACACCACAGCCGGACAACTGAAAGAGTTCCATAAAACTAAGTGACTCCTCAGCATGATGAGGATTCCTTCACACGTGCTTTTCAATTGCATGCTTGAGCCTTGTTCCTTTCCTGACTTTTGACTTTAGAGTGCAGGAGAAGGCACTGCCAAGATTCCTTCCTGCAATTGGACTAGCAAATGCAAACCTACCTGAACATAAACCACCACTTACAACTCCTGCTCCCCACTTCGCGTGTTCCCTCTTCCTCTACAGCTCCACCCAGAGCAGCCTTTGCTCCATGCACTGTGCTGGAGTCATGACCTTAACCTAAGTCTAACAAATCCCCACTTTAAAAGCCCGTGTCAGTCCTTTCCCTGTCAGTCTGCCTCCCAGTCTGAGGGTGGGTGTTGTTAGAGGAACAGCTTTTTATTTTCCCTGTCACTCTCCGGGGGATCTTAAAGCTTCATCTTATGGCCTGGCAAAAGCCCTCTGCCAGACTGTTTTGGGTGGCAGCTGCTGTGTATTATGCCAACCCCCACTCCTTACCTTCCACTGGAGTCTGAAAGAATCCTTTTCCCCCTAATTCCCCTTGTGGCTTTGCCAGACTGAGGTTTAGAGAGAGGCAGGTGCCCTGAGGTTCCACAACACCTGCCTTTCTCTAAACCTCAGATTTTTTTGGAGACAGCTTCTTTTTTCTTTAAGATGTCATGTCATGGGAAACTATGGGGCCTCCAACTGAAAATAAAACTCCATTTGAGCAAATAGAGCTGAACAGGCAGTCTTTGACTGTACTATAAAATGAGAATTCCAGTCCCACCCAGGTGCAGTTATGCAATTATTACTCAAACTTGCAGATAGGGGAACTGGCACTGTAAGGCTTTGTAGCGTGGCCATAAACACAATGAATCAGTGACACTGACACGCTTGTCTACCCACTCCCACAAAACACTTTGGGGGATGACAGTCTTTAACAAGAAATATGCTTTAAATATATCTACCTGCAGAGTTTGTAGATCAATATTATAATTTAGTTTATTGCATTTTATCTTCCTATATAAGAATATTTACAGTAACGAGCACTTTTGCATTTGTCCTGCTTACAAACTTTAAACTACACAGTATGTATGCTCCATTTATTTGGTGTTCTTAGACTATTTGTTACTTTAGCTTGCAAGTAAAGGTAGCAAATATGTATTTCCCTTTCTCATTCTAGCTGATGTTTCAGTTGCCCTAGGCTTTCTAAGGTAAGCATCCTATCTACAAAATGGTTGCAGCCTTGGCTCAGAATAAGTTCTTTTTTACAACTGACTATTCCAAGCATGAAACTTGCTAAAAATATTTTGCCGACCCTATGTCCAACAACTATCTGGGATTACGGTTTCTGTCTCCAGACAGAATTATGTCATTTGTTGTTTTCATATCCATTGCAAAGACAAAAAATGAGTTTCAGCTTTCAAGCTTCTTGAAAGGAAGCCTGTCTCTTATCCCAAAGCTGAATAACTGGAGCCTGAAGATGCCATAGGCAAAGAATACCAGATATATCTGAAAACAACTCTTGGTCACTGCTTCATTGTGAGGAGCAGACTTAGGAAAAGCACCCAGTTACTCACAGCAAATTTACAAGGCAACCCAAGACCTACACTGAGTGCTATCAATGGGAAGGAAGTAGAAAGAGCACAAAGATTAGATCCAAAAGCACTCAGATCCCCAGCACAGTCACCAACAAGCTTATCACTAGACCACCTATAAGAAGCTGTAGATGGAAACCAGACCCAATGTATTCCCAGCTAAACAATTAAGTCAAAATAAAGATTCTGAAGAAAAAATGCAGAAGATGGTGAAAAATGGCACCTACAATCAATGGAGCAAAGGATGACAAAGAGAAAAATACACCTTACTGACTTTCCCAGGCCACTCATGACTCTGGCAAAGTGGCTGACGATGATCTTTCCTTTTGCAGACTAGGCTGAGATGGCCTTTGTGCCAATCAAGAGGCAAAAGAACACCAAATCCATGGCGCAAGGAAGTAACCAACATCAGGCTGGATCCTTATCGGCTGACAAAGGTGAATCTTGTATCCTTGTTTTTAGCTATTAAGTGTGGCGCTCTGCATTGGCAGTAAAAAATATATTAACATGTTTCAAATGAAAATCTTTTAAATACAAAGATAATTGTTAGGGCAATGCTTGTCTTTAGAAAGATGTTTAGAATTTTTAGGTTTCTTAAATGAAAATTTCAGCTAGATTTAAATTCTGGATTCTAGGGAAATCAGTCAGCTACTGTTCTGTTTAAACCTTCCTTTACGTGGAAAAAAGGAAGTTCTGTCTTCTAAGCTCTGCCTTTTTTTTTTTTCTTTTGGTAGCAAATGACACAAAGCAGACTGCATCTCCCTGCCAGTGTGTTTATCCCTGTGTGCACTGAAAGCAGAGCTGAGATGAGATAGGAGCTGCTTATACAGACACTGCCAACACACAATTCCCAAAGAAATTAATGAGCCGAATTCAAAATTGTCTCAAGCAATGTAATTTACTGGCTGCACCCGGTGTGAAGACAATCTCTGTGTGGACTCTCTGGAAGGGAATCATACTGTTTAATTTCATGCTGCTGGTTTATGTGACAAGTCAGAAGATTGTTTCCCCAAGGGCTCTCCCCCCTCCCCACCATAAATACTTGTTGGACAGCGAGAGGCTCTTTCACAGGACAACGTAGAACTGAGTTCAGATGCACAAACTCAGCCTCTGAAATACCCGCTCCTCTCTGCTGATTAGTTGTGCAAGCCAAGCCACCCTGCCTGTTCTTTCCTAAGAGCACAAGTCCCAACAAGCATCTAATCCCACCTCTGATAAACAAGCGAAAAGGCCCTTGCCTGAAATTTATGCCATGAGGCAACAGGAATAACCCCCTGCATCCCTCTTTCTCTTTAATAATTAGCCATCTAAAGATGCAAAACACACAAACAAACGAAGGCTAAGAGGACTCATGCTTAATTGATACATGTCAAAAGATTTGATGAAATTAAGGTTCATCTTGAATACTGGGAGATTCCATAATTAGACAGAAAAGATGATAAAAGGCTCCCACCCCCTGGGTCTCTGTATAAAGATCAGAGAGGGAGAGACAAGTACGTGTTCAGACTAATGGAAGAATACCTTACCAGCACTTCAATCATTGCAGGATATTTCATGTGTCCATGTCTCAGGATAAATGGGGCTGTTTAAAATTGGGTAATTTTTTAGCAATCCAGGCAAGGAGGGAGATGATAAAAGAGCCAAAAGCTCTCGCAGGAGGTATGAATGAGCAATTAAATGTTAAAAATAGATAAATAAATATTTACATTCCCATATCAAAGAGTAACAAGAACAGCACAATAACATGCTGTGTGAAGAGAGAGATCAGCCTCCCTGGTGGAAGATACCGGTAGCTGGAGGGGTGGTACCACTTTGTGGTACAACTTTTTCATAAAATACATCTGGTCTAGGAAACAGTTGAGCTGTACTACTTTCCTGCATGCTTTTTAATTTGCCTGACGCTTATGCATAATGCATTAACCCTGTCTTTGAGCTACTTTCAAACAGTTTGTTCCAAAAATTTGACTGAGTCATTAATGACAGTCTCTTCTAGAGGAAGACAGAATATGTTACGTTTTCACCTGGTCTAGTGCAGTGATGGCAGAATGAGATTGTGAGCAAAGAGCCAGGCACCGATCTCTGCTGGAGACTCTTCCCAGTGCCACTGTCCCCCCGTCGTCCAGCGAGCAAGCCAGGTCTCACCTCCACAGAACCAGTAACGGGCAGCTTGATATTCACCCTGGAAAAAGCTCCTTTCAGTTGGTTACAAGACATAGCTGAGGCAGTGTTTTCCACCATGGACGTTGTGCCCTGGCTTGTTTGAACGGGTTGTTCAGTATGTTCTTTCGGTTTGTTTTGGTTTTAATTTAAGGAGGAAATTTAAGGCAGGAATCCAGGGATTCGCACTGATAATGCTGCAGTTTGTAACAGTGCCGAGGCTTTTACTGCCTTCGGTGTCAAGTACTGCATGAGGCAGAAATTTAAAGCAAGTCCCACCTCAAAGGGTTTGCAGCCTACTTCCTTTATTCCGAAGCAAACGGAACCAGGTGTGGGACCCTGCTGGGAAATCCAGTAACTGTGGGCACAAAGTTCACTGGGACTGCACCTGTGCTCGTAGATGAAGGGCAACAAAGACATAAAGCAAGTGCTTGTAAAATATGAGAGATAACAATGTCCAATACCTTTGCTCCACTTAAGTCAAGGGAGTTCTGGCATTGCGATAGAAGTTTTTACTCATGTGGTCACAGAATGTGCTATAATAAATAATGACAAAAGAACAGTCCAAAGAGTAGGTAACTCCAGTCTTGTCACCTGCTTGCTTCCTGCTTCCTCCTTCCCTGCCACCACCTAATTCCAGTGGGAACAGAACTAGGACAGGGTGGACTTTTTCTTCTATTCACAGGCTTCACTGTTCTCAAAGGTTTTGTGCATAGCCAAGTTGAAGAGAAACCAGAGGCGTACTTTCTCAACCCCTGGAAGTAGTAAGCCTTTGTTTTCCATAGGACTGGAGCCAGTGATTTGGGTATCAGTATCCCAAATGCCAGTTACAGAAGTAGTCACAAGCTGTTCTGGAAGCAAGTGCCAGACTCGCAATTCCTATAAGTTACCAACCCAGAAATGAGACCATGAACAGAACTTTCTTGCTAAGACCAAGCTCATGGATGATAAAGCCAGCACTTTTTTGAGGCTGATGACATCACTACATCAGAAACCACTTCTGAAAATGTGTAGTTTGCCCTTCTGAAGTCCTTTACCAGCAACCATAATCAAAATAAAATTTTCCATTTATTCATATCCAAATATGATTCAAGTTCCAAACTGATTATGTCCGTCGTCTAATTTATGTACTGTAATGATCTGCCTTAAGAACATTTGATCAATGTGAAGATTAACCAGATGATAGAAATTCCTCACATACTGTATATTTTTTTCCAACAGTACCACAGCATATGACCATCTACTTTTATCAGACAAGACCCTGAACAAGTTTTGCTACTTCAGTTAAAACAAATACATTGTAAAGCACAATATTGGACCTCTGGGCCTGTACCTCTGTCAGGGTGAGATGCAACTTGAGTTGCTTTGAAGCACCAGAGAATTGTCTGTACTGTATGAAAAACATCAGAGACCTGAAATATGGACAAAGCATGGTGGCAGTGGACAAAAATCATGGAGTGTCATTTTACCTTGCAAAAGAAAAGCTTTTGCTATGTATTATACAGGGAAACCTCTTGACAGATGAAGATCTGGGAGTGATGTTTTCAGTTTAGTTTATCATTCCTAGAAGGCCAAGAAGTTAAAGTTCTTCACAACTACTAATGCTACGTACAAGCTCTGACATTGTCCTCTACAAATAACCCAGCAGCACTTACTGGTTAGGCAGATCCCATTAACTTTGTACTGAAAAAGAATTATTATCCCTTACAAATTCACCAGCTTTTGAGCCCTGGGGTCTGAGAATAAGTAACAGAACCATTGCAAGCCTGACATGATTAGTTACCAATTTGAAGCAGGATGTTTCCCATTTCCACCCCTTCAGTCATCATCACCCCAGTTTACAGGTGCCATTCCACTTTGTGGCTGCCTCTCAGGGGGACCTCGGAGCTGTCACGCCCTGGGCTTGTCAAAATTCCTACAGGCTTTAACAGTTGAAGGAAATTCTGCTTCAGCGTATAGTGTATGGCAAACTCTTTTTAGGAGGCTCTTCCTGCCCTTCTCCCTTTGTATCTCCACACCTCTCTGGACCTTGCAGTCTTTTAGACTCTCCTCTATGTAATATACTAGCTGGAATGATTTGTACTCAGCTGAGGGCAGAATGGAGAACACCTAGACAAGATATCTGAAAAAGTCCTGTGAAGCAGAGGCCTGCCAAGTAAGAGAGTGCCATTTAGCACTGACAGACTAATGCTGACTGGAATGTTCCCTTTTACTACATATTTTATTATATTTCCTCTGTTTTTCCACTTAATATATCTGCCACCAGGTTACATTAGCAATAATTTCTGAATTGTTTTAAGACAATGCCCCTAGTGATGGCTATGAAACCAATTGAAGCAGTCCCTTACCTTAGAGTATTTTCTCTGCAATAGCTGTCTTTCTAGATGTGGATTTTATGGAGAAGATCCCAGATCATCTGAAGTTTCTCAGTTTCCAATTTTGCAGGTACTTCTACCAACTCTGAAACGGAGCTTGACAAAGCCAAGTCTAATGAGAATAGAACACAGGGTAAGGCATGCCCTCAAGAAAAACAGCCAGAAGAAGAGATACCAAAGGTACCAATGGGACCAGGACCATATTTTTATATCAGTGGATCTAATGGAGCTAGGCTGTAAGTAGGTCCTCTCAGCAGACTCATATGAACAGTAGTGTGGCCATATATGAAGTCATGCAATGTTATCCATTATCCATTGTCCAAAAATAATTTTCCTCTGATTTGCTGTCTTTTTGGAGTGGTACACCTGGGGAACTGTTTAAAGATAAATCAAATAGAAAGTATCCACTGGAAGGCCACCAGTGGTAAAGTAGCTAACTATCTTTGCAAAGAGATTAAGTACTTCTATTTATTTATATGACATTTTCACTGTTGAGGCTGTTCAGAAATCACTTAGCTACACCATGTAGCAAATCTGCTAGCATCATCACTAGAGCTAGGAACCACTGTTGCTGACCAACATTCTGTTGTGCTAAATGTAAAAGAATTGAAAAATAAGAAGAGATTTCTGCCCAAGAAAGATTGTCAGATCAGAAGTTCCATTCATTCCTTTCTAAATTCCTTCCAGCATGTTGGCATTCTTCTCTAGATCTTGTCACCAGCAAACACCACAGAATCTCTGCTGGAAACAGCACTTTCCTTCCTATGTTTCCATAGGTTTTTCTACAAAGAGCTTTTTCTATTGCTACTTGTTATCTCTCCCTAAACTCCTCAGTGGAGAGGCTCCTTATTAAGACTGGACCATGAACATTTCTATTCCATGGGTACCAGCTGCATCCTAATTGGCAAAACCCTGCTGAAATGGTACAAGTTCTCATTAGAGCTGTTGAATCATAATGTTCTTAGCATCTTCAGTTATTCCTCCCACCCTCACAAGTTCAGACCAGCAGGTCCACTAGCAGCCATTCTAATTAATGCTTCCCACCTTATCCCCCACCCAGGGGCTTCTGGGCATGTTAGGTCAGGCTCCCAGACAAAATTACTAGGAGTTCAAGGGATATGAGCTAAGTATTTGTTAATAGAAAGGAGGCTACTTTTCACTTTTGTTTTCCTTCTGCAGTGTGAGCATCTATTGCCAGAGCAGAGGCTGGCAGCGTATCTATGACAACAGAAGAGAGGATTATGCACTGAAATGGTGTGAAATCAAGTGCAGAGAGACCTATTACCATTTCAAAGAAGGTAGAGGTGCCTGTCGGCCTTGAGTGGGAGAGGGTGGTGGGAAAAACTTGAGAATGCTGGACTTGTGACTCCCAGGGCAGAGGAGGTCACCTGGGGGTAGGAGAAACAGGTAACCTCAGCTTCTTGGCAGATCTCAGAGGGGACATCAGAGCTGGGTTGCCATGGTGATTAAAGAAAGGGTTTTAGACAAGAAAGCAGCTTTGGGGGAAAAGATACCATTGAAATGAACTACGTATAGTGAAATGAGCAGTACAGAGATTCAAACAGAAACTGTCACAATCACTGTCGAAATGCGGTCCTCCCTCTTTGGATTTGAGCAGGGGCTGCAATAGTCCTGTGACAGAGGAACAGCACGGAGACTGCTCTGGCACCTCGAGAGCCTGGGCCTCGTGTAGGGAGGGTGCCTTGAATTCAGAGATGCTCCCTGCCGTGGAGGTGGGGAGAGGAGAAAAGGAAGGAGGGATGCACTCGCAGAGAGAAGTAATAAGCTCAAGATGGGTCACCCCACACATTCCAGGCCCAGCTGTCTCTACTTAGGGAGAACAGAGTCACTAAAAGCCAAACTACTCTACTATATTAGCGAACAACTTTTTGAACTGCCCTCTATCCTTCGTCTCATCAGTGCATCCTGACTCCACAGGGTCCAGACAGCTCTCCCACCAGAAAAGCATAAAATCAAGGACCCCCCAGCAGTGCCTCTGGCTGGCACCCTCTGAGCAGTACTTTGGATAACAAACACAAAGCTCCTTAAGCACAACCCCTGGGGCAATTTTTTTACTTCTGGGAGCTGGTCAAGACCTGTGCCCTGGCAAGCCTGAGCATCAGAGCTGCAGGCTTTCCTGGGGCAGAGGGAGAGTGTTATCCCTTCCCTACCAGTCCACGTACAGCAGCCGCCTTTCCCCCTCCTGCCAGCTCTGATGGCAATGTGGTGGCTGTTTGTCAGGCTGCACCACTACAGCAGCTGGCCAGACTTACGGCAGTGCAGATAAGTTGTGTTTCAGTGCAATTCTGCAGCAGGAACAGTGTGACGGCAGTGGCACCTTTGGAGTGAGCAAGGGACACACTATTCCACGAAGCCCCATCAGGTCAGTGTGTTCCACTATGAGCTGGGACAGAAATACATTTACAGCAAGCGTTTTCACTGCTCTGTGAATTGTCACAAGTTGGTAAAAGTCAACAGTGACAAAGTCAGCTTCATCCTCCAGATTCTGCTGCATGGGACAATGACGACAAGCTTTTATTTTTCCTCATACAGGTGAACAGCTTCTCTACCAGATTCCCAACAATGGAGTCCTCACCAATAAGATAGAGCTTTTATGCTGCCTGAGAGAGCAAGAGCGGATGATGAAAAAGACCAGTAGGAGCTCTAATTCCAAGTAAGAACTCACCTCTTTGAACCAGAAACATGCCAGCAGAAAGTGAGAGCACACAGACAAAGGATAGAGAGTGTATGTACAGGATATAAAGTATATGGGGTTTTATTTCTTTCTTATCTTCCAGAAAAAACACTTTTTTTCCAGAAGTACGTACATTAGAGACAGAATTTCTTCTTTCTTTATGTCTGGAGTTGTAGTAGTACCAGGTCCCCAAAAGACCCCTGCTTGGGGTACATCGTCCTACTGGAATGGCCACAATTTCTTGTGCTTTACACACTGTAAATATAAGAGAAGCTTATTGCCATTTCTGCTCCTCTATTTTTGACCTACCAAAAAAACAAATGGCAATCTTGTGCCATGGTTACCTGCAGCCATCTCAAATAGTTTTCAAAACAATTGAGCATATGGAGAATGTTTTAAGGCTAACATATATTCTTGAAAGCTTATGGAATGAGGTAGCTCAGGAAAAACATACAACAAAGGCACAACTGTTCACAAGCAGGAAAAAAAGCCATTTCTTAAGTTTCTACTTGCAACCATCCTTTCTGAAAGTAACAGAGGAGTGAATGTGTTGGATAGGGTTTTCAACTAGTATTTGATTCTCCCACAGGTTACTGAAGATGGAAGAATTCTTCCCAGAATCTTTTCGCCTGGATTTAGAAGATGAGAGAAATGCCTTTTTTGAGCTTTTCAAGGGTGAATTTTCTTAATCTTGGTGGCAATCAATATAAATAGCTATGTGGTCCTCTGAAATATTCATAAAAGTATACACAGTAATAATAAATGATATGTATGTGCATGTGTATGCATATACATACACACATGTTCAAGTGAGCTGTTTTCAGAGCCCACATCAGTGTTTCACACTAAAACAGACTCATTCTCTCTGCAGAAGAACAGATTTGGATTTGCAAACCGAGTTGTTCTAACCAAGGTCGAGGAATTTTCCTGCTGAAAAATCCAGGTGCTGTCAACACCCTTCATGCCAAGCTCCGCAGCACTGAGGAACACCTACTCAATAAGAGGGTGCCACACAAGGCTCCCCAGGCAAGAATTGTGCAAAGGTAGAGATTGAAGCCTGGGAATTGATGTGTGAGTAGTGTGCTTGATTAAGCACACTGGCCTCAGAGAGTTGAATTGTTCCATAGGTATTTAATGTGCTTACACCACATTTCATCAACATGTGAGATTTCATTTTGTGGGAGAGAAGTTATTTCTCTGGTCAGTCTGTCTTGCATCTAGACTTCAGTCATTTCAAGGTAGATCTTTGTCATCAGAAAGATTTGAGTTTACCTTTGTCTGGAAATTTAAGAAAGACTTCAAAAGACGAGATACTACAGTTCTGTCCATGAGTTCTATACATAAAGCCTTGTGCAAAGCAATTTGAATTAGATATTATCCCAAGCTAGCATTTTAAAAATTGTACAGCTGCAATATCTGTTCCATGCAATCTAATAAAGCCTCCCAAATATCTTCTTAACTTTATCTCAGTGCTGCAAAAGTCTAGGCCTCAATCAATAAGCAGAGGCTATCAATCACTAAAATATTGGGTTGGGGTCATTTTATTTTTTTATTCCTTGCATAAATAAAGGATCTGTGCAGGCTGCTCTTTGTAGAGTATATACCCTCTCAGCCATTGCTGGAACACTTTGTAGAGGAGCAGAAAACAGAAAAAGGAAGGGAAAAATAAGGCAGCAGAATTCATGAGAACAGTTCCTGCTACTGGACATTACTTGCTTACTGTTACACAACTCAATTTCCCTTTGCCTCAGTGACCCTTCCTCAACTGGGGAATGCATTACAATTAAATCACTTCAGTCCTTTGAGATGAGTGAATAAAACTTTCAAAGAGAAATGCAAAAAAGATGTTTTCATTATTTATCCTAGGAGCTGCAGTTCCCAGATGCCTTTGATGCTGCCTTCAGCGTGCACAGCTGGGCATACAGGGCACTCCGAACTTCACGGTGCCCATACATGCATGACTGCCTGGCATTGTCATGACATGCCAGCAATGGCAAAGTGATACACTCCTGACAATGCTGTAGTATTGACATGGCAAAAGCACATTTTGCCATGTAGTGATCACTGCACGTCCTGGCAAAGTGGTGATACCAATTCCCCGCACTGACCCTGTGCCACTTTCCTGAAATTCTGCCATCATGGCTTGGCATCTTTCTATTGCAAGAGAACACAGCACACGGGAACCTTTTCAAGAGCTTCCCTAGCCAAAACAAGCAGTATTCTCTGCTTGCATTCATCCAAACATGTCTTTCCATAATAAAGGAATGGTTGGCTTCATTGGAAAGGGTAAAAGAGATCTGTAAAATGATAAACTGGAATGATGATCTTACAGGATTTCTGAAATAGGCTGGACTGTGTTTATGCAGCAGCCAATATATGGAGCAAAGCAACGACTGCCTGACAAGATCAGACCAAGGGTCCTAGACCCATACATGGTCTTTGACGTGGACAGGCAGCAGTGCCAGGGGAAAAAGCGGTTGGACCCTATCTTAGATCCCATCCTGATTTCTAATAATGAGGAATGGTTTATGCTCTGAAGAGCGAAACTTCATATTTCTTTGAAAACCGTTGATGGCATTCATTGTTTTAACAGCATATCCTTGTTATTTATGTAGACATCCAGCAAACTTTGATGATAAAGGGGAAACAATTCCCAGATTACATCATTCTGGCAATAAAAGCAATGGTGCTGTGTGAAGGGCTCTTTGTGTTCAAACATAAACTTTGTATATTCTCCAGTAAATATTAGTAAATCTTTAATTACCTCCCGCTCCCGAGATTCAACACAGCTTCTATTCTTGCAAGCTGTTCTTGCATTTCTATCCTCTCCCGCAAGCGCCCTCTGCTGCCACTCACCTTAAAATCAGTGTTGAAAAGGGGACAAAGAGATTAATTCTGTGGTGGGAAATGAACTGGCTGTGGGGTTTTGTGGGAGCTTTGAATTGCCGTGTATTATGGATGCCTGTTGGTGACACGTGTTGAAATACTGCTCTCACAGGTATATTCACCAGCCTCTGCTCCTGGAAGGGAAGAAGTTTGATGTCCGGTCTTACCTCTTCATTGCCTGCACAGCACCATACGTGTTATTTTTTGCCCAGGGTTACGTCAGGTTGGCTTGTGTCAATTATGATGCCGCTTCTGATGATCTGACAGTTCATCTGACCAATCAGGTAAACTAAGGTCACTTAGTTCAGAAGGAGGGGAGGGTGTGGTTGACAGAGGTGGGAAGCAAAAAAGGCTTTTGAAAGGCTAAAATCAAATGCCTCATGCATGCAGAATCCCTGCACGCAGGAAATGGCCTTGGGCTTATGGTCAGGCATGGCAGCAAGGCTGAACAGAAGCAGCACCAGATCAAGTTCCCTTCTCTGCCATGGACCAGCTCCCTACTTAACCTGACAATCTCTCTCCCTGGACCACTTTTTTCTCCCATTATTCTCTCATGTATCCCCAGACCATAAGCTTCTTAGGGCAAGAAGCCTTTGATTGCAGCCACCTAGCACAAAGGAGCCTTAATCTTGAGTAAGGATTTTGCTGATCCTGTTGTGCTTAAATACAATAATCATAATGATGTAAGATGTAGATGTGTTCTTCAAGAGCCATCGTTCTTAAATCTCCATCTTTGCTTGTTTTGCTTCTCAAATGAGGGCTATAACAGAATGAGACTCTTCTGGCCTGTGCCCCCATATATCTCTTGTCATACAAAATAGAATCCTTCCTTGCTCAGATCTACCTGAGCTTTTTACTTCAAATGAGGTTTTTCAGTAGCTAGAACTGGCTCTGATGAAAGAAAACTTTAAAAATCAGAAGGAAGAAAACAGTTCATTTTTAAAGCCTTTCTCCCAGTGTCATGCTGTGTTCTGAGAACTAGCAAAATACACATTAGAGAGGCATCAGACAAGCCCACTTCAGTTGGAGTTTTACGGTTCCTGTAGAAGTGCAGCTCAGGACAGCAGATTATAGCTGCTTCCTGCAATATATATTATTATCAGTATGCCACTTGTTTTCCTGGAATAGTCTGTTTGCTCAGCTAGAGAGCTATCCACACGGGAATTCAGGTGCCTGGGTAGGATCCCATGGAACAAGTGATATTAAACAAAGGACAGGTGTTTATTAGCAGAACATAAATTATCTGGTCTCCTGCTGTGAGGAGGGAAACAAAATTTATAGGAGTGGCTGGTAATAGGCCAGACTTTCAAATTACAGTTGATTCTGCTCTCATGCCCTTGCTACCTTTCCATCCCACCTGGAATCAGCCATTTTTTAACTCTGTTTCCAAAAGACAAGAGGCAGAAGAGCCAGCATGAGAAGCTTTGCAAGCTCACAGTAACCGTCCCACAGAGGGACTTGCAGCCAAGCCCAGCTGTTCCACAGGGGGAAAGGGGACTTGCCTTTGAACAACGTATACCCCATTATTCATAAACTCTAGCTGACACAGGGATTAATGAGACAGTGGGAGAGAGAAGCTCCCACTTTGGTTTCTCCTGGGGGTACACCCATACATCTCCCCCAGATGTACTCTCCTCTAGGAGAGTGTTAGGCAGACTGTGGAACCAGATTTAGTCTGAAGAATATTATAACTATGTCTTGAAAGCACATCTCCCTGTCTGCCAGCCACTGGTCCAGACATATCATACCTGCACAGAGAAAACACTGCTTTGGCAGTGACCCTGGGTAATTGTCTCTACGGTGTCCGTGTGGGTCAGGCACACTTCTGCCTGCGGCAGTGTTGTACAACGAGAGCCAGGACACTGGCTCGGGTTTAGCTCTGCCAGCGAGGGGCTCCATTCCCTCCACCTCTATAACCTGACCCGGAGGTTCTTCCCAACTCCAGATGCCTGGAACAATGCAGGGTAGTTGGATGTCTGCCACGCAAGCTGGTTCCCAGTGACTCCTCACTGCCAGACATCTAATCCTCCCTTTGCTCTGCTCCCCCACCTTCAGTACGTGCAGAAGAAGAACTCCCTGTACAGCCAGGTGAAAGAGGAGACAGTCTGGCGGATGGAGGACTTCAACAGCTACGTTAATGAGAAGTTCAGAAAAACCAACGGCCTCCCCAAAGACTGGGTTTTCACTGTGTTTACTGTAAGTGCAAGCAAGTGTATGGTGTGCTGGTCTGCCTAATTAGGGTGACAGGAATAGGGAGAAAACCTGTCAGTTCACTGGAGTCCCCAAGGAAATACATACACTGAGTGAGAAGGTATTGATGGTCCCCATGGTAACCGTTTATCTGCAGATGCTAAACACAGAGGTGAAGACACAGAGAGTTTAATTTTAATAAAATGAGGAAAAAGCTGAGGAAGAGAGTGTGAATGTAAATGCTAGCTATGAAAATGTAATTATGGTCTTCACATTCCTATCCCAATGCTGTGGTCCTGCATTAAAAAATAAAATACGCATTGGAGAGCTCTCCAGCCTGACAGGTCTTAGCCTGAAAAGGGACCATACTTTCAGTGGTCTCTTTTCTTTCTGACTTGGTCTCACCATTCACTTTCTGCCTCATTTTGCCACATGAAAATCATATCAGGGCCTTAGATCTTCTCTTATCAAGAAGGAGAGATAAGAAGACAACTGGCTTGATTTCTTACCATCTTCCTGTCTCACTGAGGAAACAAAGTGAAGAAATTATCTTTCCTGTCTCACCGAGGAATCAAAGTGAAGAAATGAGACCCTGAGACTTCATTTCATCAGCCTGAGTCTAATGATGCATTAGTTCTCTACATGACTTGCTGGGGTGAAAATGAAAAGGGCAGAGGACACAGCTTTCTGAGGTTAATTTTAGAAATGCTGTAGTTTAAAGCCAAATACAAAGAAAATTAGAAAGCTAAAAACTTTGTTAAAATAGGTTTCTGTTTTGAAAAACAGCTCAAAAGCAAATCTAGTTGAATTTGCCAAGTTTCTCAGGGGATCAGAAACTTTTCAGCCAACTTTATGTTATCTATCTTCCTGCAGAAATTCCCCACTGTGCATTTCAACTGCAAATTGAGTGAAATTTCGCATCACCTACTGTACGTTGCTGTAACTCAGCAGGCTTCTTTAAAACACTATGTCCAGCACAGTTGTGAGGGGGTTGTGAGTCATCACTGCCAGAAATGGCTGTGTTCAGCTCACATCTAGGTGCCTCCATAGGAGTAAATGAAAGAACACTGCTAGAAATTCTGCAGACAGATCATTCTGAGTAAGGGCCGAGATTCCTTCATGCGCCACTGGAGCTGTCTGGAGAACCAAGTTCAGGAAGGGGTTTCCATCAGCTCAAAGTAGACAGACATAAGGTCTGCAAAATGCAACACCCTTCCAAGTCTAGAGAGGAGCTCCACGGGAGGCAGGGGAAGGAAAAATGTCCCTAAACCAAGAGGACACCTCTGACTTACAGTGACTCCTATGCCTTTGGCATTCACAATGATCAGTTACCACCGTTCCCTGTCTTTTGTTTCAGAAAAGGATGCAGCAGATCATGTTGCAGTGCTTCCTGGCAGCCAAGCACAAACTGGATCGCAAACTGGGCTACTTTGATCTCATCGGCTGTGATTTCTTAATTGATGAAAACTTTAAGGTATGAATAAAATAGCACCAAATACTAAGTATGATATTGGCCAGATTTCTAATGCCAGTGTGGTTGACACAGGCTCTGGTGCTGGGAGATAAATTCAGTCAGTCAGCTATGAAGTGCAGGATTAATTTTTTTCTCCAATTCCATTGTATAGCACCAAGACATGGCACCTATACTGCCTGCATGTTTACTGCACAGAGAAACCCTGGCATTAACAGCTCAGGATGGGAAGACAAGTACTTCCTGAAGGTGGAACTATCCTGTGCAGAATTTTCACAAGGAAAGGAGTTCACAGTGAAAAGTATGGGATGTTAATGCCCACTCAGTTTTTAATTTCTCCAGAAACCAAACATGTCAGATGATCAGCCAGCATAAATCAGTGTGTAATGCCCCTAACACCACATGAAGTACGCTGATTTACACTAGCTGAGTATCCATCAAAGGCGACGAAGAACTCGCCCTCACCATACTGAGGAGTCAGTCATTATCATTTCAGATGTCAGCATCAGTATCTCCGTGTTCACTGTAGGTTCACCATTTAGCAACAGGTCAGTCCACCGAGTCTATAAAATCTGCTAGAATTACAACTCAAACTTGTAAAGAGTGAATGAAACCCAGACAAGAAAAGACAGAAGAAAGAGAAAGGGAAATGTTAAATACAGTGATTGAAGTGCTTTGAATGCAGCACAGTTCTTCAAAACCACCCGGCCTAAACATAACAGAAAGCCATCTGGCCGATTCTGCTGTTGCTAAAGTAGAAAGGAACTCAAACATATTCCAGCAAAGGGCAGTGGGAACAGCAAACCCTACGAAAGAATGGAATTAATGTATGCAGCAGTGGGTAAGGCACCTGAACAATAGACTCCTTTGTACAGGAAGTCAATGGCAAGGGAGAGTAAATGGCAAAGACACAGAAACTGGTGCTTCTCAAATTTCAGTGGGAATTGTCTTTTGCAACGTTGGCATGCAAAGCCCTGGCTGTGTAAACTTCATAGTAGAATAGAAGATCCAGTGTCACTCTTTTGGGGCAATTCCTACTTGACTAGCTAAAAACTTCAGCGTTTAAAGACCATTACATCCCCATGGAATTTACATACGGAGAGATAAACAAAATCTGTTTCTTGACAAGTATTATCTATAAGAATGATGAGGATTTCTGGACACTTAGTGGTATCAGAGTCAGCTGGAACCTGAAACTTCCCTTTGAGAGAGAGTACTGTGGAAATTTAGGTATTTATTTATCATAGGTTTGTCTACGTTTTCCTGCTGCTGCTGGGGAGCAACAAACCTACTGCTTTTCCTGGTGCAGTGCTGGGCCAGGAGACCCCCGCACGCTCCCTGCAGAGGCAGCGTGCAAAGCTGGGCACAGCGCTGGCAGCTTCAGCCCGCAGTGAGCGCTGGTCCGTGCAGCAAACTCCTGATTTTCTGTGGGCTGACATCACAGTTCCTGTCCTTGCCACCTGTAGTACACAATTCTCCCTGTCATCCTATTTCATGACATGTGTGGAACCTGCTTTATGCTGATTTAGCATGGTCTTACATGTTCAGTCCTCATGCCTTTCCCTCCTCCTTATGTGTCTGAGATATAAATGCACCTAGCACCATCCTAATAATTCTTGAAGGCTCTGCAGCATCCCAATTCAGTCTTTGAAAGGTGTTTTTCCTGCCTCAGAGTTCTTAGAAGCATGGACTATGAAAGCAGGGCCTGCTGAGAAACCGCAGCTTTCTGTCAAGCTTTGCATATTCATATGTAAGCTAAGAAAAGAATGAAGTACTTTAAGAGGAGAGGGAGCAAAAGTGACGGATGTGGTTTTGCTGTTGTTGGTTTTTTTCCGAGTGTTTTCTGGAGCTTCCTTGTGCTGCTTTGTAAATGCCTAAATCACTGCACAGCTTAGGACAATGTCATTTAAATGCTCAAGGAACTTGTTTTCAGAAAGCATTGCATCAGCCGTGCAAAAGGGCTTCTCTCCAGAGGTATGCTGGGAAGACAGATGTGTAAATTTTTTATCAGCCATAAAGGGATTCAGCTATTTATCAGTAGGGAACGGAGTGAACAGAGATAAGCCATTTGCCAATTTGTGATAGATGTACCTAAATGAAGATAACACTCAAATCCCTAGCTAAAGCAGGGACAGTTCCTTTCATTTGAATGACATAATTCATTCACCCCAGGAGTATGAGGTACCACGTAGATACTGTAGACTTGGTTGCGCCCACCCCAGGTCACAATGATAAAAAAAATCTGATAAAAGCTTGTTAAGGCTGTGAAAAACAGAACCCCCCTGCCTCAGCCTGTGGTCTCCACTATCGTGGGTCCCTTTCTGGGTTGACAGCATCTGAGTACCTCCCCTTCTAGTGCTTGGTTTGTGACTGTGCATGTGGCTTCAGCTATGTCCGCACAGGACAGGGAACAAGTTATTTTATTCCTATTTCTGACTGATATTTCAGTGCCACTTAAATCCCCAGCCAGAGATTGGGCTCCCTGGACACCAGCTGCTACACAAATGCAGAACAAGACAAGTCCTGTTGTGGAGAGCTTTGGGCTTTGAAGCACGTTACAGCCACACTCTCTAAGAGCAAGTTCTGATGTAGAGAAATGTATAAGTTCCCATTCAGGCTTGGCTACCAATTCACTTGGAGCCCCTGAGAGCAGGGACCGATGCCCTCTGCCCCGCCTGAAACCCCACCAGGATGTTTAGCTTCCACCTGATGAGCTCCAGCAAAGACCCACCCAATTAATTTAATTAAATATTTCAAAATCAGAAACAGAACAAAACTCTGGTTCAACCATGGCTTTTCTGCACACCAAGTAGTCTTACCTCTGCCCATGTCAGCAGGGAAAGGACCCGTAGACAGGTCTTTGTTGTCTGCTAGCCACCACATCAACACATGAGAGCCAAGTCACCATCCAATGCTCCTTTGAAAGACTAAACAGCTGCTATACGGGTGGTGCTACATCAACGAGCCCACAATAGTAATCAAACTAGATGAAAATAAAAAGTATTCAGCAGATGCTAACACTGCATCTAGCACAACACAAAGAACAAGAAAGAAGACCTCGCATCCTGGTGTAACACAGGATCTGGCTGCAGTCGGCATTTTGTTCAAGATCCTATGGACAAGTCTCACTATTTAAAGTTTTTAAACCTACCTGTGATGTCTTGACAGAGCAAGTTTCAGATGTGACAGAACAGGGAGTTGTACTGGCAGGCTGCAGGGAGCAGTAACTTCTTCATCCCTGGGAAACATCCAGAGCAGCACTTCTGGCTAAAGCCACAGGACACTCATTATTGTTCTCATCACTCAAAAATCCTGAAGAAAAAGAATGGTCCATGGTTAGGGAGTAGAGGACAGACATTCTGGAGTTTGGTTTCCTTTCTTTAACAGTGTTTGCTAGGAAATTGTGATCAAGGCACCTGCATGCCAGATGCAGGATGAAGCAGGCATAGAATGAAATTCCCACTAAAGTTATGGATATTTGCACAGACATGGTGAATCTTGGCTTTATTCTCTCTGCTCTTCCTGAAATAGAACAAAGGGCATTTATTAACTTGCTCTGGTTGTTGAGAGGTTAAGAGCATTTAAAAACTCTGAGATGTTCAGACAGTACAATAATGGGGAATGTAGAAGATGAAGAGCATGCTGGATATCGCAGAGAAATTTTTTCCTCCTGTTTATCAGTTTTATTTGTTTTGGAGGAGAGGAAATCAAAACCTAATAAAGACAATTATGAAGGTTCATTGAGTTTGTCTGTCAGCACAAAATCTTATGAACTTTTAAGAGGAAAAAGGACACTTAATGAGAATGTTTGCCAAGAAAAATGTATGTAACTTAGGTGCCCTCTGTTGGCACCTGCAAAGCAGGTTTTTTGAGCAGCTGCTCCAGTTCTCTGGGAAAAAAAAAAAAAAAAAAAAAGAAAGACCTATCTCTGCCCTCACTTACCAGTCTTTTCATTTGTTTAATAAAGTATTTCAAAGATGTAAAAATTATTGTTGTATTTTATTCTCAGAAAAACAAAGTGCCAAATTGAAGGCTATCACGTTGCCAAAATCTACCAGACTCTTAGACTTCATTTCAAAGGTACTAGAAAGCAAACTCATTGTTGCTTCAGAAAAAAAAAAAAAAAAAAATTAAAAGGGAGTAAAATTCTCCTGGGGCTTTTACATGATTAAATATCCTTCCTTACAAAATGTTGAATAGTTCCTACATGTGTTATATACAGGATGCAACACCATATGGTGGAGGCGGGAAGTGAACAGATGAGTTTCTCTCACTATAGGGAAAAGAAATAGTAAACAGAATTACATACAAGTCAATTATTTGGTTTCGCACAGATTTGTAACTGGACCGTCACATTCTGTGGCTTGTAGTTTTGGTATTTCAAAGTGAAATGGAGATGAGACCAGTATAGGTATGTAAAATCAGTGTCTTACATAGCTTCTACCTGAAACTAAAGTTTACCTAGGAAATCAAGGCCAAGGTTCACTCAAAATTTAGTACCATGTTTGTCTAGTTTTGATCCCATGTCCACTTCAAATCAAAATGATTCCTGGATTCCTTATAACTTGATTTCCTGGCATCCAAAAAAACTCAACTATAAACTTTTATGGAAACCGGTATGTTAAGAAACACAGTGCCTTTACGCACCTACAGAGCAAGAGTTAATCTGAAGTGTCAGCTGGAGACACTCAGTCTCAAGTAAGTAAATGTATGCAGAAAGGGATTCTGTTTAATTCTTCCAGTCCTTATGAAACTTCTGTCCTGCCTGCATTCTGTATTACAGGATTTTGTTGGGATTTATTACTACTCCTACCTCTCAAGGTGTTCACTGAGTCAGTAAATGGGCATTGCTCTGACTCTGAGGAGACCCAGCCTAGCTCCTGACTGGCATTCATCTTTCCTAGGTCTGGCTTCTGGAGATGAATGCAAACCCAGCGTTGCATACCAACTGCAAAGTCTTGAGAGACGTCATCCCAGCTGTAGTCTACGAGGGTCTTGGTAAGTGAACGAGTCACAGGGCGGCCAGCAGCAGATAACCGTATCACTCCATTGCTTGACAGAGGAAAGACTCCTGTTTATATCAGTTGTAGGTCCAAAACAAACTTTGAATAAAGATATCTCACTCCTGAGTTAATAAGCAATTTACAAGGCACTGAAAATTCTAATCCATGCAGACCTAGAACAGCTATGGTCTTTTTAGCCATGCACCCATTAGAAAAAAATAAGTGGTTAAAATTGTTTTAGTTATAATTAATTTTAAGAATGTTTTCTTATATATTTATGTACAAAAGGCTAAATCTTCATGCATGTCCCTATAAAATGCATCTGCCATGTTGTTCTGAATGTGCACTAATTTAAGTTTGTTTGAGAAATGTGCCTTACACAGCCACGGCAGTGCTTAAATGCCAGTGTACCTCACTGTAGTTCACAAATATAAGCTGGCTTTTGTGTGAACTACACAAAAACTGAAAAAATGCTTATGTGGTCTGTTATACATCAACTAGAACTGTTTCTGCCTGAAAAAATCTTTCACCCCTGATTTTCTGTGATATCACTGTATATGTAAGGCAAAGTAGTAAAGGGAGAGTCTACGTCTGCATGAAGAGTATTAGCAATAGCCTACTTGCACTTACTTTCATAGATACAGTTACCTTTCTGTGCATATGCATGTTTATTTTGGGGTATACTCATATCCTTTTTTGCACTGTAAGCAGTTTTACAATATTTTTCCTAGCAATTTCATAAAATGCTTCCAGCAGAGCTGAAGCTGGCTGAAGTGAATGCAGGAACAGTGGGGTGGGTTGGTTTTCTTTTTTTTTCAATTGTCTTAATAGTAATAGCCCACAGAGGCCACAGATCACAGGTTCTAAACCATTTCCTCTCCCCATGCCTCATCCTTCCCCCACACAGCTGCTTTGTGCACACACATGACAGCTTGAGTGTATTTTAGCATCAGAGTGTTTAGACCATCTCATAACTGAATCTTCTTTTCCAGATTTGGTTCTCGAGGTTTTCAACAAGCGCCTCAAAGGCCAGAGTATTTTGCCTTTAGAGACACTCTGCCATTTTGTACTTCTCTACCACGAGGATGCTGCGGACCTTGACATGAAACAACCCTTGAAGCTCAGGACTGGCCTGTGTTCAGGCTGGTATCTGCAGCCACACACAGGCAGTACCAGCCACTTTGGTCAGAGCCCTGCCAAAGCGCTGCAGAAGTCTCCCAAGAAGCCTGGTTGCTCTAGAAAAAAAGTTGCCTTGCTCAGAAAGAATTGTTAACAAACTGCCCTAACTATATCACACATGTAGCTCTTTAACCATCATGGAAAAACCCGCTGAACCATTACAGAGCAGGAGGGTTTTCACAAGTTCAGAAGACATAAAAAGAAAATAAAAGTTAACCTTGTATGTGCTGTGCATGTCCAGCTCATTTTCATCTTCACAAACAGGTATCAACCTCAACTGGAAACCCAGTAACTATTTCTATAAGTACTTATTGTTCTGCAGAAAGTAATACTTTAACCAGCCAGCTAGAAATCACAGGAGAGTTACAGAAAGTGAGATAACTGTTACCACGTTAAAACTCATCCCTTTTAAAAATGACATTGATCTGACAGGTGCAATCCAGAAACAGGCCAAACTTTTTACAACGAAAGTCCTTATTCAAAAAGGCAGGGAGAGAAGCTGCAAAGACTAAACCTAAGGCTTAACAGCAGAAATCCCCCAGCTTGTCCCATCATTTGTAGCTGTATGTCCAGCTCCCTCAGTCATTAGATTCTCTGTGCATTGCACATTTAACCTCGTTATATTAAGACTCTCTTTCATTTTTCATTCGGCTGAGGTGACAGCCAAGCAGCAGCACACACTTATCGTATCAGGCCACCATCTTAGCAGGAAACAATGACGCTTGGGGGACCGAGGAGATGGGGAGGAAGGGAGAGAGGTTTAAAACCAACAGGAAATGCTTTTACATCTCAGACTCTGCCACTTCTGACCCAAGAGGAATTTAAATGAGCAGAAAGTTGAAGGGTACATGCTGTGACTGCAGCATCACTTTGAAGCGAGCATCTGTGGATGGGGGAGCCGCCGACCGAGCATGGGGTGCTGCAGCCTGAGCACCAGGCAGGCCGGGTCTGCAGGAGCAGGCCAGGATGAGGTGGAGCTGCTGGAGACAGGCAGGATCGGGTAGGTAGTGACTGGGGGGCATGTGGAAAAAAGCCTATCAGCTCCACTCAAACAGAAAGACATGTGGTGCTTGAGACTAGAACCCAATGGCTGTATTGGCTTTCCTAATATTGGTCTCTTAAAGGAAAAACTTTCTCTTCCTCCCCTTTTCTAGCCAGAATTTACAGTAATGCTAAGTGTCAGATTTATCTAATCTTCTAACTCAGAGCCTGCTTACTTCTCAATATGTTCCCCCAGGTCTTTTAAGATAGCGGGCCAGCATTTGAGGAGCTGACCGTGGAAGCATTCCCTCCTGTCTTGGATGTAACTTGGGGTGGGCAATCACAACTAACTCCTGGCAAGCGCTGCTCATGTTTTGTCAGAAATTGATGTTTTTAATCAGACTTTCACAGGTCAGAGCCAGATCGGAGGCCTGCAAAGAAGCTCAGGAGGCCTTTAGTCCTGCTTCTACTTCTGCAGCAGCCTCAGCTCTCCCTAAATCTTGCTTGGCAGATGCTTGTCTAACCTGTCCTTGAAAACCTCCTGTAATGAAGTTTCTGCAATGTTGCAAGCAAGCTGTTGTTTCTTCCTAATAGCTACTAACGCAGGTAAGGCCATTGTCTCTACCTTATGCACCACAGACAAAAAGGAAAAATTGTTCTCCTCTTTCTAGTGTTTTTTTACATATGTGTAGACTGTTACCATACCACCTCAGTATTCTTTAGGACAAGTGTTGAGCTACATTACACATTTCCTTCCATAATTTCACCACATTCTAAGAAACAGTGTTATTCCTTCCTTGCCTGTGAAGGCAGGCATACTGAGAGTGCCTTCACCATCCCTACACTATGTTCTATGTAATAAGAGTGGAAAATAAGGAGTCTAAGTGCCTTGTTGAATTTACAAGCTAGTGTCTGCTTAATGCAAAGGGACATTTAGTGGTGTGTTCCCCAAAAGTTCAGGTCCATTCTTCCTTGACATGCCTGCTTTCTGATTCTGCATCTGCTGCTTTTTTTTTTTTTCCTAGAGTTCACTGAGCTGTTATCATGCAATATTCGTGTCAAAAATAGCATATTCTCAAACACATCAACTCTATGCCAGAAATCCATAAATTTGTCTGCTCACTGAGCATTAATCTCTCTCTCTCTAAAAAATTAAACACATGTAAGTGCTTTTCTATGCCTTTCCATATTCTCTTTCATTTCAGAATGTGGTCCAACCAAGAAGGCCAGAGTGAGGCATCCCTCTGTCCTGAGGACCCTGCAGTACTAGCAGAAACAGAAGATGTGAGTATGAGCAGGGTCATGCAAGCAAAGGTTTGTATGTATAACCAAAGAAATCATAGGCCTATCCATTTCACCCACCATGGCATTATCCTGATGCAGTATCCCATTACAATGAAGTGCCAGAGGCTATGACATGCCCTTTGTTTTGAAAGCAAGTAACCAACAGTTCTCACTGTTTTAAGGCCCAGGTGTAGGTTTTCAGCTTTTGTTCTACAAATTCACATAAAGAAAGTTTGTCATCACAAGTCAGTTTTGGATTTTTTCCTGGGACCATGTTTTATCGCCATTGTTGAGAGAAGATACTCAGAGAGTGGGGAAGTGATTTATGCAAATTCACATATATGGTCAACATCCAAATCTCCCACTGTCTGGGCTGCAAAACCATCCCTTCTCTCTTAGCAAGTGTTATGAATCATTATTGTTTGTTTCTTGTTTCCATTTTTCCACCACTAATTGTCTTACTTTACAGGATATTCCTGGTAAGATTACAAGAAGAAATGCATGCTAATGTTTGTTGGTTTTAGACACAAGTACTGTGGGGAAGAACACGGGAGGAACTAGCGAACTTGTTGATCATGCAGCCTGTCAGCGGCTGGGAAGGGATGAACATTCACTCTCTTGGGGAAATTATTTGGTCCTCCCTGGTTTTTCTGAGCATTTATTGCATGGAGGTAATCATCTTCTTACTACAACCACTGAATAATATGCAAGGGATAAGGTGGAGCTATATTTGGATTTCATACATCCTGTCCAAATTACTGTAAAATCTGAGTACCTGACTAAAGCTACGATTTGTCCTGACCTTTGTTTTCAAGAGTTAATGGTAATATGTTCAACTTTTTTCATCAGTGCCAGTAAAAGCTGAATGGATTTCATAGCCACTTCCTCAAGTAGCATGAATCTTTTCATTCATTCATTCCCTGGAGAAACAAAAATGTCCTTTTCCTCAGAAGTTTCTTGTATACTTCTCCCAAAGAGATAAGGACTGGTTATTATGATTGCAAACTTGTACATGTAACAATTGAGCCCTCTCCACAGCTATTGGAAGTGACTGATAAATCTAATGCAGTGTGATTGCCATTACCCTAGTTTTGATGAGGTCAGAAGAGGGAACTGGGATCTATTCTAACTTTGTCACGAATTCATGTCTCTCTAACCGCACATCACTATTTATCTGGCTGTATACACGAGTAAAACCTCCCTGTCTCACAGGAATGACATGGTCTGGCTTACTAGTGCTCAGCCAGCACATGGAGACCATTTAAGGAAAGATGATATAAAATTACAAAGTACTGGCACAAAGCTTCAGTCAAACTGTGACCTAGTGCCGGAGAGTGCAGCAGTGAAACACTGCGTGGTTCCTAGTTACCAACCAGTCCCTAGGCATCACAGCCTCTCACCACTGTCTGCAGATAAAGATGTGTGAAGTACTGCATCAGCAGAAAGGAAGGGAAGGTGAAGAGCTTCGAAGAAATATAATTTCTTTTTTTTTTTCTTTTTTTTTCTTTTTAATTTGTAAACATTTTGGAGGAAAGATATAATTGATCTTATTTTAACAGGAGATACATGAATGCTACCTTGTGCTGTTCTCCTGTCACTTGCTGATTCTTTCAGTGGATCGTACAAAGAAGGCATTTGTTTATGAGGTAAAGCACAAGAATCTTTTTGTGTCTGTTATATCCATGCTCATATTTAAGATTTCCTAAATACCTCTTTGCTCATAGCTCTAGCATGTACATGGAAGAAAGAGTACCTACCCCCAGTGCTTTGCCAAGAGGAAGGCTCAGGATGTAGCAAACATGCAGGTCCCATCAGCCAAGGCAGAGACACTTCACTGAGTTCAGTGAAGCTTTAGCATGTTTTCTTAGCACAGTGGCTCACAATTCTCCATTTTTCAGCTTACTTTGAACAGGGAAGCAAGTCTGCTCCAGGGATTGAAGAGGAAGTGCCAGTTTCTATTTATATGCCTAATCCTAGGATCTATAATGTTAGCTGGCCTCTCATCCCTTAATTTATTTACCCAGGGAGATGGATTGCAACTCTGTACGAGTGAGCTAAGTGAACAAGGCATCAACCAGGAGGTATCAAGAGATGGTCATAAAAACAGATTACAGGAGAGTTAGGAAAGTTGTATCAGGGGAGTAGACATGGTGTGCTAAGGAGAGAGACATATCCAGAGGAGCTGCCTTCAACACAGCAATGTCTCCTGATGGCTCTTTGGTATATGTCTGTGGATCCTAAATGTGAGGGGAAAAAAAAAAAAAAAAAAAGCGCCAAACTAGGAAATGTCATAACTACAGAAAAAAGGTCCTTGATCTGTGCAATGTTGGAGTCGATAAAAATCTAAGTCCCTGCATCAGATAAGATAGATTCTGTAAGAGGACTCAGAAGAGACATCATCACTTTATGAAATACAGGATCCAAAATGTAAACCAGGGCCTCTTTGTCCTGAAATACAGTGTAGTGTCCTAGCATGGTTCAGGGCATGAGGCAAGAATTAAAGAGGGGGAGGCTGAAAAGCAGACAAAATTCCATCTAGTTCATACAAAGCGCTTTTCAACACCAGCCTTAGTCTATTGGTGGAGCTCGCCCCTATACCTCAGAGCAATTCATGAAGTCATTTTACAGGTAGGGAAATGTGAATAACACCCCGATTTCCTATGTCTTCAGACAATGAGATGAATGCCACCCCACACAGACTTCCTTAAAGTCAAAGGTTTAGAGGATGGGAAATTCTTTAGCCTGGCTTGCAAAAAGCGTTCCACTGTACATCAGAGGGACCGCAGTGGGACACAGAGAAGTTTTTACCAACTGCTTTCTGACACAGTTCCCTACCATATCAGGGTCTCCTTCCTCTTGCTGGGATGCATCTGAGAGAGACTGAGAGTGCAATCAGCCACACATTTGAAATTTCTGGTAAGTCTGTTCTCCAGTTCCTGAAGGAGCCTGTGATAGTCACAAAGCAGGGACACCCATGTTCTAGCCTTCAAGGACCAGCCTACGTGGCTAGAAGATGCGAGGGTTATGCAGCCATGTGGAGGACTATTGAAGAGGGGACATGCCTCCTCTCCAACATTCAGCCATGCTGGAGAATATGCCGTGCCTTTCTGGACTGGACTCTCACATGCAGCATATTCTATAGTTGCATAGGACAAGACATAGCTAGATGGGAAAGAATTCGGAATCTCAGTTTTTATGGGTGGACACAAGTGCTGCACAGTCTTAAACCAAGAATGCCTTAGGGTTAACTGGAATTCCTCACATGCAAGACCATATAATGATAGGTTCCCCTTTACTCTAACTTTCTGCTTAAACTAAACAGGAGGCAAATGCTGATGTCTGCATGTAGAACAAGGAAGCCATGAAGCCACCTAATTGTCCCAGTGTCGACCCAGTATCTGCCACCATGAACAACGGAAGACATTGTTTCATCATGAGATATCAAAGCACGAGTGGAATGCAGCTATAAGGAATGACAGAGTAAAGGGGCAGAATTCCAGAAAATTCCACACAGAATTCACCCTCTAGGCCCAAAGGCAGAACCCAGCCATCCTTCCTCAGACCCAGGGACTGTATGTTTCTTTGCACAGGGTCCATGATAGAATCCAGGCTCATTCACTGCCAGAATTCAGCTGACTTCAACATGTGGGTTCAACACCTCCAGTACCAAATCAAGATGGCAAATGCCCACTGCCCAGTCAGTCCCAACAATAATATCTGTTTTCTGGTGAGTCAATGCAGAAGAGATGTAAAGAGAGCGGGACGAAAGCAGGGAACAGTGGCAGCTTTGAAAGTGGACAGGGATTTTCAGGGATTTTTAGCATGCAGGCTGGAAATGAATAGTGTTACTTGAGGAAGCTGTTCTAGGCTATGGCAAGTAAACTTGCTACACACAAATTTGCAACTGCTACTCTATGCTCATGAGAGATTTTAGAAAAATTACTGATCGTTTTTGTTCCTGGGATGTAACTACTACACTGGTAACAAAAAAAAAATAATTTTCCTCAAAATAAAGACTTACTCTTCGATACATGCTGTCGCGCAAGTGGCACACTGCAGCATCCACAAGGGTCACAAGATGGCAGGATTACACTGCCATTCAAAACACCCCCACAGCTCTGCCCTTGGGAATTCACATACAGCATTGGAACGAGTCCCCCCAGAGCTGCAGATTTCTGGTGTTCCCAACAGTTCACATAACTGTCTATAGCTAGTGGATACAAGCTAATTTTACAGTGGTTATCCCAGGTGGTCCTGTTCTAAAGATTCACTGTAGATTGCAGAAATCCATGCAGGACTCAGCATAGCCATGCATAGTGTGAGCCCACATCAAACCACAATCCCTGCTAGCTGGCCAGTACTATGAAGGAAAAGGAAAATATCCCTCAATAAAGGGATTTGAGCACAAAGCCCAAAGTGCTTTGAACTAAGATGAAATTAGAATTCAAATCAAACCAGTGTCTCCAATAACCTCTTTTGAGGGGAAGGGAAATGAGACCTTTCCTTTTGAATAGCTAAAGCTGTTTGGTTGTCTCAGCTTATACTCATGAAACCACAGTACACATGATCTTGTTCATGCAGGTAGGAAACCTACAGCAAACTAGGAACTTCGTAATGGGTTTCCTAATTTCCAAGCATATATCCTAAATACCTTTCTAATATCACCCTATAACCCTGAAAAACATCTCATTTTGCTGTATCTCAAAAAAAAAAAAAAAAGGTGCCGTGTGATCAACAATGGAAGAAAAGGGAGCTGATGAGACATCTGTTGCGTAACACCATTCTGAAGTGGGAAGGAAAACCTATTCAGCATCTGGGAAGGATACAGTATTTGACCATGGTGCAAGCAGCTGCTGGCTGCATGAGGGTAATGTACAACGCACATCACTCTGACATGTGGGTGGCTTTAAGAAGACTGGAACCAGTGAAAGTTTAGGCTCACATGGAACTGATACTTAAAGAAAGAAAAGAAAAAAGGCTAATTATGTCAAAGTCTCGCAGTATTAAAGAGACTCGAGGAGATGCAGCTGTATTTCTGAAAGCTGCTTCTGACAATGTGTCCAAACAGTTGCAATCAACTTCCAAGGGAGTAGAGTCGGGAGGGATAGTCCACCCCTTTCCAATCACACAGCAAGATCAACATTTTCTAAATATTTCCTCACAGATGTGTGCCTGACCTGCTCTAAAAAAAACCTCACCACTTTGTGATACCCTATCAGCTTTCTAAGCAATGAATATCCAAGCTGAATAAGAAACACAAAGAATAGTATCCATGGCTGGTACAGATGCAACTAGGTGCTGCAGACAGTTCTGAGTTTTGGTGTATTGTCATAGTCATTAAACTTCATATTCTATCTTTGACTGAGACATTTCCACTGAGTGGAAGTTATTGAATGTTTTTGCCATTTCCAAGATGCCTCTTTTCCACAGGACTCTGAGGAAAGACTGCTGATCCTGTTTCCAGAAGACCTGCTTTTCCTCTCTGTGGATAAGGACAGAACTTCAATCACATACAAGGTAACAGAGGAAATACTGCAAATGGTCAAATAAGTGAAGAACTAAAAGGAGCTGGAGATAGTGAGCAGCTCTCGGTGATGAAAATGTCTGAATAGCAAGGAGAAAAGTGAGGAGCCAAAGGAAAAGCACCTTTTTTCTCTTCTTTGAAGGGAAAACTCCCCCTAACTGGAATCCAGGCAAAGGAGAAATCTGCTGTGCCGGGGAGGTTACAATTTGAAATTACAGGTATGGAATTGAAAAAGAAAGATGAGAGCTATGAAACACAGGAGGTTCTGTCTGAACGTAGGGAAACAGTTTTTTACTGTGAGGATGACTCAGCATGGTGACAGGTTGCTCAAAGGGGTTGGGGAGTCTCCAACCTTGGAGATACACAAAAGCCATCTGGACATGACCTTGGGTAACCTGCTCAGGGTGGCCCTGCTTGAGCAGGGTTGGACCAGGTGACCTCCAGATGTCCCTTCCAACCTCAACCATTTTGAGGTTCTAATGAGAAACTGAGCAACACCAGTGCTCAGGCTTGCCTTGAGGATGGGTTATCTTCTGAAGTTGTCTTCCCACATGGTATAGTCCTTGTGACTTTCCTTGCTATAGGTGAATAAACTGTGTGTCATGGCAAACTTTGCACGCTTTTCCATCACCAAACTCTTCCCTGCTAATGTCTTGCAGGAAGCCTGACAGAACCAATCCTTATCACGTGTTCCACAGAAGAGGATTATGAAAAATGCCTCTTCTACCTACAGAAGGTATTTTTCAGAGAACTTTACTGCAGTAATATCTCATTTCAAGACTGGGATTTTCCCAGCCATATATCTAAAATGTGTCATCCACTCACCTGAGTAGGGAGTTGTCTTCAAGCCTGTTGGGCTCTGAGTATTTATTAATCAATATGTCTATTCTATAGTTGAGGGTGTCTGTGTTTATCTAGTGTGGAAATTCCTGGCAGAGTTAGGATATTCACATGCTGAAAATATGTTCCAGCCTTAGAAAATCCTTGATTCTCTGATTCTGCAGCCACCACCAATCATCCCTAAGAAAGCTCGGCGGCATCGGTAGGACATCAGCGTGCAGTGACAAGAAGGTATGTTGAATACGATCACAACAGAAAGTGAAGAAGCTACAAGAATGAGTAATAGACTGGAAATTGGAAACCAAGCTTCTTTCAGACTGAGAGGCTCTGCACGTGAGCTATTCTCCACTGGCTGCTGTTTTGAATGGACCATTGCAATCAATGTAGGATCTTGTGATTCAGACCTCAGCTGTACATATGCCTCAAGGAGAAATCTTTCTCAATTTTCTTACCATATTTATTGCCTGATTCTTATCAGAAAAAGAAACATCATAAAATACTGTACTGTGTAAATAATACAAATAAAACCCATTTACCTCAACTTACCCATGTGTAGAAAGCAGCATTCAGGTAACTGCTGGTTTGGAGTGTTGTTGCCTTCCTTTGAAACATCAGGCACAGTGCAGTTCTTGATGGTGAACAGTCCTTTCTCTATAGCTTTTCTTACCTGCTCAAATCAAGAAGAAATGTTAATCCTGGAAGTTTCCACAAACCAAACATTGTTTCCCCAAATACTCATTGCTGTCTTCTACCCTCCAAGAAGAACAACCCAAAAACCTCCATGTTGAAATAAATCTATTAATTTTGATGATTTCAAAATTTGGATTTTGAACACCTTAAGAATTTTTCCCCCACTCTACATATATGTAGCACTGAAAAGGAAGCATTGCTACAAACCAAAACAGCCAAGCATTTAATTTCAAATAGAAGTTCTCAGTTACCTGTATGTTAATCATCCAGGTCGCATCCATGGTATAACTGCAGTCACCTGAACGAGCTCTGTGTGGTCCCATGGTCCCTGTTCTATCCCAGTTTTTCTTTTATGCGGCCTACACTGGCCACAAGTAAATCAAGACAACAGACAGCTGTGTATGCTGAGAAGAAAAAAAAAATTTCAACAAACACCATAAATTATGAGTCTCTTTTCCTGATACTTTTAAGAACTGAACATCTCTGCCTGGTTGGGTTGAAACTAGACAATAAGTTGAAAAATTATTTGGAAAAACAGGTCTGTAATCACACAGTTGCGTGATTTCCCTTTCTTTGGGAAAGGAGACCAAAAAAATTGACAGGAAGTCTCGTGAAAATACTGGTTTACCTTCTTCAGTTTCAAAATGCTAATAATTTGCAGGAAACATAAGCAGCCATGGTGGCATAACAAAACACTACCTGCACATATCCTTAGTTGCCTTCTGTTTGAGCAAAACCTCTAGTACGAGAAAAGCTGTTTCTATACCTCAGGCATTTCTCTTATCCTCTTACACTCTTTCACACTTTTTTGCAGCTAAAAGATGAAGAAATCTCCAGAGTTCACTGGGGCCCTAAACACCTGTGATGATTATTTACGTATGTAAGTGAATGACTATATAAAAGGGTATCACCTTATTCTCCTACCTGTTACCCTGCATTTCCTAAAACCGTGTGGGAAGGTTTTTATCTGATTATGAACAGCAAGCCACTTCTAAGTATCAAACTTTGTTTTACACAAAGTTTAAAACTTTATCAGTGTGAAGTTTCTTAAACATTTACACACAGAGAAAAACCTGAAGAACTGCAGATCCTGAAGAACTTTTTAAATGAAATTTTTGGAGAAACTGCAGGAAAATAAAGATGGAAACACAAAACACTTAATGATAACACCAGATCTAGCACCAGGGAAACAATACACATTACTCGGAGAAAAGCTGCTAAATTTGGCTCTAAATTCTGATCTAGGTCACTGGAAGATCCCAGAACTCAGCGCAGTCAGAGGTTTCCCTCCCAAAGGCCAGTTTCAGTTATCGCTGGCAGCCACTTCCCCTTTTTCCGGAAACACGCAAGGGAGCCTCAGGCACAGACAAGTGATGTCAGCTTCTAAGAAATCACCAAAACATGTTATCTTAGTACCTTCTTAAAATTTGCCAGTGGTGCTCCATTCCAAGTATTATAAAAGCAAGTGTGCTAAAAGAGCTGGCTCTTAAGATAGCGAAATATTTCACTGACCAGGTCTGAGACACACAACACTCGGTGGCAGCCTGTGAGGCTGTCTCAAGTAGAATGGAGAGCAGAATGAAAAGGCGCACTTTCGCCATGTAGGAGTCTTCTTCCACCTCTGTTGGATAAACAGAACTGTTCCAGAAATTCCTTAGCTAAGTGCTATCTGCTTTTCGGAGTCCTCACTCATATGTAGGCTGCAGCAGGACACATCTGTGAGCAACACTGCTTTTATCTGCCATTTCCTCAGCAGACGGGCAACAGCGCTGGCCGTGCACAGCCAGGCTGTGAAATGCTCTCAGAGCTGTACTGCAACTTGACCTGCCAGGGATGAGTAAAGAAATATTTTTACAATTCAATTCCTCAGCTCATAGGACAAGTCAAAGACAAGCTTAAGGTACATGCTGGACAACTCCTAATAAAACAAGGGCTGAGTGCTACCCGCTGTCCCACAAAAAATTGCATTTTTTCCATAAACGTGAAATACACCTTTTAAGCTTCACCTACACATACTGTAAGACTTCTTATGTCCTCAGTTAAGCCACAATTTGCTGTCATCGTTTTGCAGCCTGCATACTTGCCTTTTAGCTAGGAACTTTTTCTTGGTGTTTTTTTTTTTTTTTTTTTTTCAGATATCACCATACACCATATTTTAATTATTTACTCATGACAATAATGCTAATGAAACATTGTATTTCTAAATCTGCTTAGCCTTCTGAGTTGCCCACAGATTAGTGACAGAACTTGCGTTTCTTCAAGGGAACAGTGAAAACTGCGCCATTCCTGTTTTCTTTTTGGCATAATGAGATCTTATTATTCAGCCTGAGCAAGATATCGTCACCTAAAATACCATAGGGCAGCTTAGTTGCCTATATTCACTCATTTAATAACCGGTGTTAACACACTGTTAAGAGTGCAGCAGTTGGTTGTACCTTGAAAGTATAAAATAAAAATGTCTCTTCTCCTGCTCCAGGGCCAATGCAAGAGATAGTGAAGGATTTATAGAGAATGATTTGGCAAGAAAACTCTGCAAATGTCACAGTCACCAACCTGGTGGAAACGGGCAGGGTAATGCTACCATTTTCTCAACATATGAAGCCAAACCACTGCTGGGTATAACAGAGTGCTGCTGTTCAGGCAAGCTCAGCAAGTGAAATGCCTTTTGCTTACTGTAGTAAAGGAATGCATTAAGCCACTCTGGGTTTTTCTCCAAAATGTTAGATTTTTGTAGGGCTTAACTGCTTCCCTTCTAGACTAATCAGGATTGTGTTCCTGGTGTAAGTCTAGGCTTTAGCAGAGTTATACAAATTTATGCTAGCTGAAAAGCTGTCTCTTTTTTCAGTACAGAAGGGAAAACGTGCTTCTGTAATAATTACTCTTTATCTGTATAATTTGAATACTTGAATAATTTGAATATCTTGAATACCCACAAAAATCCAGAGGGGTGAGAACATGCGACTGGTGTTAAAACTATCCAAAGAGCTCTTTAACCCGCAGTTCACAGCCTAGAGTTTCCAGCCACTTCAGAAGACGACTGTTCCGCGGGGGCACGGGACTGTGCACAGCTGGATCCTGGGGCCGCCCAGCAGCGTTGGCCTCCTCAACACCCACCACCTCCCTCCCTGGGCTCCAATGGAGCAGAAGTCCCTGTGTCAGCACCAGGCAATTGTCAGAGCTGGCAGTGGGAGCAAATGTGAATAACTCAAAAAGTGTAGGCCAGACTTTAGGCAATAAGAAAGAGGTATGTCTGGGGTGGTTTTCCCAGCATATTCTTCCCACTCCTGGTGGTCTTTGGTTTAGAGACATTCTCAAACAGAAACTGGAGCTCTTAGAAGTGTTGTCCTGGTGTATGTCACCCTCCATTGCTTTAATACTAAGAAAAATGTAAATGATAGTGTACTCACAGTCATTAGTAATTCAGCTGCTTTGCATTTGATTTCCTTTAGATCTCATGGTTGAATGCCAACTGGTTCTGTCCATTAATGGTTATTTATTCTATTTTACCTTCTACTGACACATCAGTTCAAAATAAATGTCTCTGTGTAAAAAACCCCAAACAACCTACATTAATAATATTTAATATTTATAAACCACCTTCTGATTATGAGTGGAACCTGAACATGAAGCCTGCTTCACAGAAGTTAATTGCTTCAGCTTTCAGGTGCTGTTCCACTCTTTCATGCTAGAGTATTTAATAACTTGATAGTCCTTGTTAGCCTAAGTATCCCTTCTAGAGCTTCTTGGCTCTAATTTCTACTATTAGTTTTGCACATGGCTTCTAGAAGCAGCTAAGCTTGGGATATGTTTACGTGATCAGATTTCTTTCTGGAGCCTTACCTGAGGCCTGTCACAGCTGGTAAAATGTCAAATTTGTGACCACATCTGAGAAGGAAAGCTTAGCGTCAAACAAATCCGATGTATAGACAAGTATCTCACAATCCCTATGAACTGAAATTCTTTGGCTAAACAGAGTTCAGAATTGCAGTAGCAATAGCAAGAGCATAGATATTTCTCAGAGGGGATGGTGGTAGTGACTGCCAGGTATTTTGTAAACCTGATGTATGGTCAGGGCACATATGGAAATTTAAGAAAGACTATCTTAAAGAAGAGGAGCTAAATGCATCTTTTTAACTTGTATTCACAACAGAGGAAACTGAAAAAAACCCTCCCTGTGGTTTCTATTTATGGTAAAGGAATTTTGGTTTAATTTATACTGCTAATTTTGACAAAGTCTGTACATCAGAAGAATGCCCAATTTGCATTGGGTCCAGCTTAGCCTCTCAGCCTCACTTAGCCTCTTAGATCATTTAGCCTCTGGAAGCCTTGGGATGTTTTTCAGGGATATTTTATTTTCTCTTTTGAAAAGAGATTCAAATAATAATAAAAAATAAATGCTACAGACATTTAATTGGACGTAAATGATTTGAGGGAGAAGCCTTTTTTAACCTACAGTCCATACACAGTGATCAAGCTGAAGTACAAATCAGAACTTGAAAAACCCCATAAAGTCTGGGATTTGAGCTCAAAAATCAGCCATGATTTGATTCAAATATTGCAATATTTGCATACTGCTAAAATAAAGCTATTGTTCTATCTGAATGGAAACTTAAATATAGTGTTTTCTTACAAGCTCACTGTTCTGAGCCAATAGCTTTCATTTCCTTTGAAGAAGCAGCTCTTTTACTGAAATTCTCCAGGGCTTAAATGATTCACACTTTGGGTTTTTCCCTCTGAATTGGAGCTTTAAGAAGTCAGGAAATTGGTTGTTTTTCCCATCAATAAGCAGCCATAAAGTCAGGTGATTAGGTAAGCAGGAAGTGGAACTGTTCTTCAAGGTAGGCATATAGAAACCCAAAAGGCCACTGTGCAAATTTCCAATGAATAATATGGCTCTGTTCATCATGTTTCAGTATTAACTGGCAGTAGTGCTGGCTGTTCAACACCCACAGCCCAGAGTGTCTTGTACACCTCACCAAGATCTGCTGCATGTCTCCAGAGGCACACACTTCCACTACACATTCAGATCTTTAATTCCTCAGATAGTAAGCTCTACTGATTTTTTTTTTTTCCCCAAAATATTGCCACTTCTCTGCCACTGTCAGGAATGGAAAAAATTGAAAGCCACAGTTTCCTGCTATTTTGGTAGTGGGTAGCTGAAAAGCTGGCTTAGCCACAAGTCCGGAAACGTTAAGACACTTGCTTAAAAAGGGAAAAAAGTGCAAGTGCACCAATCTAAAATTCAATGACAGAAGAATTTGGGGTACATTGCTGAAATAGCCAGAGTTCTGGAAGAGAGGGGAAGTGTATGGGGAAAGTAAAACTAATTGCACCCAAGAACACTAGGACAACCTAAAGAATAAACCCCCACCTTTCCAATTTGCTTAATTATATCACATAGGCACTTCATTCAATTTTCAAATTTATTTTACCTTTACAGAAGGCCACAATCATAATTCTGGCTGAAAACATTAAAAAAAAAAAAAAAAAAAAAAACAAACAAGAAGACTCAATATAGAGCCGAGAATAAACATGGCCAACATAGAAGTAGCAGTAAGAAGTGTCTTTACTAGCTGGTGTTTAGACTTCTGACTATATTAAATCCCACAGTGAAACTGCTTACACGGCAGACACAGTCTTACACTTCAAAAAAGTTATCCTGTTTAATCCAGTCCAACACTTTCAACTTTCATTGGCTGAATCTACTGTCCACTTCAATTAAGAATCTGCACATTTCTCAAAGCAGTGGAGGAAAACTCACTCCTTTTAAATGAATTTCACACAGGGATACCTATGGGAAAAATTATCAGTAACACAAGAATTAACAGTAAGAGGATCAAAGAAAGCAAAAATACATTGAAAGTGCTAATTAAGTCTCACAACATCCTCTTAGGGTTGAGAAGTATCACTGCTCCCATTTACATGGAGTGGAAGCTAAGGTATAGGGATGTCAGCTGCAGCAAACACAATAACAGAGAAGCTAGAAGATTGAAACTGGGACTATAGAGGAATACATTATAGTGAGTAGGATAACCTTTTGCACTTCATTTTCCATTACAATTATTTCACCCAGTTACAAGATTATATAATGCACAAAACAAAAAAAGAAAAAAGAAAAAAAGACAGGATAACTCCTCCTGACATAATCACTGAAAAAATATTCAGCAATAAAACCATGTCCATGAATCATAAAATTAATCCTTCAGTTCTATTCAAGCTTGCCAAGACCTCCTCCAGAGAAGGCTTTAAGAAAGACCAACTGGAAAGAGCTTAGAGAGAGAGACTAAGAGGTCTAAAAACCACAACCTGTGAAGTAGGATAAGAGAGAGACTAAAGAAAGCAAGGTGAGATGATAGTTTATGAATGCTTAAAAACATGCTGAAGAGTCAATTCTTCCTCATAGTCATAATGGATAATATAAATTTTAACTAACAAAATTCATCTCCTTCTCTGACTTGAAACCAGTCACGGGATTGGGTTGCCTAGAGAGGTCATGGAGTCACCTCAGTGAAAGTCTAACAGTAGATCATTATCCAGTCTCACCAAGCCTGCCTTGGAGCTCAGAGACAATGTCACTGGCTTACCAAGGTAATAACCTGTCCCACTTCTCCAGATTCTCTGTTCAAGTGCTTCTGCAACACACATCTGTGGAAGCAATAACTTCTGCTCCACAGATATTGTAATTTCACGGAGCCCTGCTGAAAACAGCATGACATCCATATTTGGATTAATCCCCTCTGAGCATTTAGTAAGCTGATTAACAGAAATTTCATTATTCTGTTAGGATTTAATTTAGAAGCCCTGTACTGTTTACGTTATCTGTAAGAAAACGTGAGGAAGCTGATGTAATGGCTGTACTACGAGATATTTTTAACCTTTCATGTGAAGGCTGAATCAAAACTCATTTTTGCTCAGAGCTGTTTTGGTCATAAAAGTGTCTAATCCAAGTGGCTTTCACCAGAAGGCCAAGCCAGAAGGCATCCAGAGCTTTGAATCTAATATTGCAGTCACACAACACAAAAGTAATTATAGAAAAAAGACATGCAAGTTTTAACTAGTTGAAGCCACAGGCTAGGTTCTTATTTGAAATCATCATCAATTCACAGAAAGCAACCAACTCCAGCTGAAACCCTGTCCCTTTAAATTCAGGTAAAACAATTAATTCTAGCCATGCTAGAGCTCTATGAAGCTGGAGGAGCGCTAATCTGACATTAAAAAAAACCCCCTATGGTACAATTCTCAGTAAGGGAAGTAACATCTTTCATGTGATGGTCAAGTCACGAGAGCTGTGCTGGAATACACCAGCAGACACACTGTTCCTTTCTCTTCTGGGGTGGGGAAAAAAAAGTATCAAGAACAAATGTTGGGCTTTTCTCTGTTTTTCACTGTCTTATCCTACTCTATAAACTAGGTGAGAAGAGAACATTAAATTGAATGTCTTTAGACAGCGTGATCCCCATTTCAGCCTTTCAGAAGTCTCCCTTTTGTAATCTCCAGTATTCCAGGTACCAAGGATTGCTGAGTTATAGAAAAGGAGGATGAATGTTACTCCCTTCTTCCCTTAGTTTTCCTGGAGGGGATGAGGCAATCACAGAATTTGCACAGAAAAATCTCTGCAAGCACAAATGATGTGGCCATGGTGGTGTCACACCGGCACCTCTGTGCACTGAGACTAACCAACACCTTCTGTTGGGATTGGGGAGTATTTAATGGATTAAGAGTAATGGCTCTTTGCTGCACAACAAAGGGGACAATTTGGCAGGAGTGAAAAGCACCTTCTGCTTAAAGAAGAGTGGTAGATATGGTCGGTAGGCACAATACCGTTTTCTCTTGATGTGAGCATTAGGACACATCTTGGAAATAAGGATAGCCTGTGAAAGCTGCCAGAGGGGCCTATAGGTACTACCATATTTTCTGCAGCCCTGAAGGGACTGATGGCAGGACAACGGCCTTCTACACATGTATCAGTCTGTGGAGCACCACAGAGACGTGCAGAAGATGCAAAGGGGAGTAATGACAAGAAGGGTCCCTGGTCCCAAACAAATTTGAAAAGAGCATTCATGGGAAAAGCAAAACAAAACAAAACAAAAAAACAAATGACAACAAATAAAAAACAAACCAGGAAACCTGTAATAATGAAATGAAGCTGAACTAAACTTCATCCTGACTTAGCAGTTTTTCTGTTTCTAAATGTCAGGTTTGTTGAGAAGAAACAAAGCAAAACTCCCCCGAAACCCATTCCTTATTGCTATGTATATAATGATGCTTTACAGACCCAGCCCTTCCCTTCTTATTTTTGAAAAGCTTAGCTCAGCTCCCCATTCTCACAGCACACTGCAATTTCTCTGTTTTCATTGTAGACTCTGAGGGTGGAAATAACAAGGCTTTTCTTCTGGTGTTTTGTCTCCGTGTTCTTCTTCTGGAAACTGGCAGCTGTAAGTCTCTTCCCTATGGTGTGACAGTTGTGGAGCCGCCGGCAGCCTAGGGAAGTTATGTTCCAGATCTGCAGTGAGAATAAGCAAAAGCACTGCACATACAAGAAGTCTTCATACATGTCAGGTATCTTCCCATTACTTTTACAAATACAGCTTCTCTCTAAGGAAAGCACAGTGATACAGGTGATGCACTGCACCTTCGTGAAACTAAGTAACCCACCCAAAATCACTGAGTAAATCCGTATTCACTTGATTTATTCAACTTAATTTATTCCATTCTGACTCTGGATCAAAGGACACGTTTGCCACTGAAAAGCTTCACAGAAATCCACACAGGTGCGCTTACCGTCAGCTGTGTGGTATTTTTCTTTCTTCAGTGACCATATGCAGAAATGCAAGAAGAAGGTCAACAAGATGAGAACAAATACAGCCACTGCAGTAAGGATGGCCAGGATGGTGGTATATAGAGAGTCATTTGTAATAGGAGCTGCAATTAAATATATTTAATAAAGATTAAGAAATCATGCACTCAGATTATTGTTAAAGGAAAGGTTGCTCTTTGAAGGAAATTTAGAAATTAATTTCCTCTTTCTGTGGAAAATAATTTTCCAGAACAGGTATTAGCAATAAAATTGAGATGCTCCAAGTCAGTCATGCAATAGATCAGTGTCTGTGGTAAGAAGCATTCATCCAAAACCCCACATGCCTGATCTCTTCATTGTTCGGTGTCTCTCTCTTGCAGCTACCACTTGCTGTATCTATTCTGTTTTGGTACTTGCTTTTTTTTGAGGGATTTGGCTTCAATGTTTCCCTGAATAGCACTACAGCAAGCCACATTTTCACACTTGTGTCTGCCTCATGGAAGTTGAAAGTAGCACCTTTTTACAATTTGTCTCAGCAGAACTAAATTTCTCTGAATGAAGGGCCCAGACCTGAAAGGCACCAATTCACTGTAGGAGCAAGGAGGGGGGAAGGCAGGAGCAGTGCAGCTTGCTGTCTTCAAGATACTCAGTACCTGCAAAGCCTGTAGCCACTTACTCCTATCTAATTTGATTCATAAGACATGAGATTTCATTTCTGGGTGTTGTGGACTCAACCAATACTTGTAAAGGAACTGGATGACAAACTAAACAATTGCCTTCTTAAGAAAATCTAGCAAAACAGCAAGAGCAGGTCAATGGAAAACTGATAATTTGCCAAATAGGTGTGCTCTATTCAAGGACAATTATTGGGCTTTTCTCTACCTTTATTACTGACAGTGCTTTAATGGTGGAATCTTTGCCCAGGTCAAAAATTCTACCTATATTAATACTGCAAGAAACACAACAGTGATTTTCAAAGCAAGTTTTCATGATAGCAAGCTCTGGACAATAACTATGCAGCAAGTCACCAACTTGTAGTGTAGAGAAAAGTTATAGGCTCAGAGAAACAAATCATTGTGAGAAGGTACCTTTCTCCAAATCTTTAGCAGGGAAATCACATATTGCATTATGTGTACTGTTGCCTTGCTTGATTGTTAGAAATCCAGAACTTTCACAACTAAAAGAAGAAAAAGAGTCACATTCAGAATGTCTCTGCCTTTCCATCATTCCCCTTTAGCCTTTCTCTTGTCTCCCTTTCTTTCTACCCTCCACTCTTTCCAAAACTTGCTTCTTTTTTCCCCTCTTTATAGCAGTGCAGGTAAAGTTATGGCTATTCCCCAACAAGGTAACACTACATCACAATTGTTTATGTGCACATCTTTTTTAGTCTTTTTGTTTCAAGTGGTGTCCATGTTTGGAATAATTTTGCACCAGTCTGAGCTGGACTTGGAAGCAAGTTGAATACACAGCAGTTTGTCTTTAAGTTCTGCTTTGAGACTGACTGTTTATAAAGCCAAGGGAGAAAGAGATATCAGATATTGCTGAATTTTAAAAACTCATCATTTAATCTCATTGGTGATCTCATCTTCAATTCAATTTTCTTTTCTATTTTAATTATTAATCATTTGATGATTTTATCATGCATATTTCCAAAGAAGGAAAGTATCAATAAATACATACTCAGTCCAGTTACGGCACCAGCCATTCTTAACATTAGAGTAGGTTCCTATCTCACATGGTTTACATTTGAATGTGAAGTCTAAAATGCCTACAAGAAAAGAGAAAATGAATTATTAGTGGTCAGTGCCTTTACTGAAAGATGGGGATACATCAGATTACAGCACAATGCATTCCCTCTCCGTTCTTTCTGCATTATGAATCAACCCCCCTGGAGAAACATATAAGCCGTTTTTGCCACCTCTGCATTTTGGAAAATGTATGGGTGGACCCCTTACAGAACAGTCTGATCTGATAGCAGAGGGTGTAAAGTTAAGAGGCAACACAGAGTAAAACAGTCTTCCACTGACAGTTCTAGCAGCTTAGAAGAAAAGTAATACTGAGAGTCCGAGCATGAAAATGAAAGTCTCAAGTTTAAGAAGGGAAGAGTTATAAAATAGGGAAATTTAGTCACAGAAGCCACAGTATAAATGCCATTTCTCTCTGCATCACGAGTCTTCCCAAAAGCAGGTTATAATAAGTGAAGGGAACTGTCTGCTGCTCAGCCAGCCACTTATATTGAACTAGAGCCACTTGTGTTTCTTTCGTTACCCAGCTTAACCAGCTCCTCGCCCTCTGCACATTCAGGCAGTTTTTTGCAGTAGGAACATTCACGATCAGTACAGCTGTATCCCTGGCGACATTTGCAGTCATGGTCCTCAACATTTTGACATACACTGTCATCTCCTGCCAAGAAGAAAGAAGTTAGACTTGTCTTTGTCACAGAGACCAGAAATTAACTTAATCATTAGTCTTACTGGCTGACACAGTAAGTGTTCCATACTGTGCTGTGGTGGAAAAAATGCAACCAGAAAGATGTCACTCCCATACATACTGGATAAAGGTTAAAGTACTCAAATTCAGTATCACTCTGATTTTTACACCATGGTTATCTTAGCACTGCATGACTTACCACTGTAGCCCTTCTCTCTTATCTGGAATACCAGTGTAGGCTGTGGTAGACAGAAGTAAGGCAGCAGGTTTGCTTTACTACACTGTGCAGATTTAGACACTGTGGTGTGAGGATGGCACTGCCAGTGCCCCAGGGAAGCACTACACATTAAGTAGCCATCCAGTCAGCTCTCAGGACACTGCCAGAGCTCTTCTCAGTTAGGCTCAGTCATGTTAGAGGACGGATGCCCAAAAGATCCTTGGCCAGTAAAACTAGAGCTCCTTTTCCATGCCTTTCCTAGCAATAGCAGCTGCTTCCTACACTCTGTTGGCAGAAGTGGGTCTAAATCCAAGCCATAAACCCAACACCCTTCCTACCTTCTGTCCTATTTCTAGAGTTCTGCTGTGAACTTTACTTGCACTGAGAAAGTATCATCTTTAATTCTGAGAGGCTCCTGGGTTCATGAAAGCAAAGGACTGATCATATATACTGATCCCATCAGTAAAGAGTATAAAGTAGTTCTACAGGCAGCTGGAGACCAGTTAGAGGAACAGTGCTGTCCAACCAGGTGGCTATAAAACCTTAAAGAAAAAAGTATTTAGAGATAAGTGCTGGCTAGTTCAATAGTGTGCTTAAAAACCCACAGTGAGTAGAAAAGATCAAGCAAAGATTATTTCCTGAGGTTGGTGATGGAACATACAGGGCCACCATGGAACTGCCCACGTCTTCCTCTGCCCACTGGTCTCCTTGTACTGGCCTTCCAAACTTAATGAAGTCTGGCAGCAAAAAGGAAACAGCCTGGGGGTGCTTCTTTCTGTGTATCACTAGTGGGTGATTCTGGAGTTGATCTCACCAAGCAATGACACTCCTACTTCATGCTGAATAACTATCTCAGTGGGAAGGGAAATACCCTGGGGTGTCCACACTAGTGAGAAGTTCTTCACCTATTTATTGCTTGTTCCCATAAATCCTATTTGTCCACTCACTCCTTCCACAGGGAATTCTGTGTCCTTGTTGGCTGAGGCAGATATATTTGAGCTATTAGTATCTGGGAGGCTGACTCCTACCTAGCCACCAACGAAGGATGTAAATTTTTGGCTAATCCTGTTGATAACCTGCAGGACAACAGCACTACCATACTAGCTAGACAAGGCTTCCAGCAACCCTGTTTCAGGACAAACAGAAAAAGAAGGCACATTCCTTGCTGTAGGTCATACAAACAGCTGCATATTCCCTACTGTTCAGCTCTGGCTACTGCTATGGACATTACTAAATTAGGAAGAATTGTTCCTGGGGCCGTGGAAAAGGCCATTAGAATCACCTGTTCTGCCCTTCAGCCTAACAGGCACAGAAATGTCACCCACTAAGTCCTACAGCTAGCCTGTTCCACCTCTAGTGCCTTAATTTGACTTTAAAATTACAGGCAAGTAAGAATCCATTACCTTCTTGCCACTATCCCAAGACCAGGCAAGGATGCTGGTTAGAACAGACTGTTGAAACTAATGATGACCTGAGCCCCTGCCTGTGCATCTGCTTCTGGGACAAGCACAAGTCAACAGAATGGAGGGACTGAAGTGGGATGCTTCCTACTCTTTAGGACCACAAATCTGCCTTACAGAGAGTGTCACCCCCTGCATTCTCTCTGAAGTCTGAATGGCACAGACAAACTTTGCAACCGTGTTTGAGTGGAGAAAGGGCTCAGAATCAGTGTTAAGTGAACACCTTCTTTCTTTACGGGCAAGATCAACCCACAGAAACAGCTTTCCCTTTCCCACTACAGAATAAGGAGTATAAGCACCTAACAAACCTGAACTGTGATGCTTTGAAGTTTATAGCTAAGGCACATTATGAATTTAGGAGGCAGGAAGGAAACCCTTGCCGTTGCGTTTTGCATACACAGTTCCTCAAGATACATTTACATATGTACACACACACACCCCCCTCTGTTCCCCACACTTGGATTACCCTGGTTGACATAAAACAATATTGACAAACAGAAAGAAGACAGACACATCATTCCCTTACCTGTGTTTGAGCTGCATTTGGGGCAGCATTTCTTCTCACCTTTACTGATTATTCTCAGTTCACCATCCTGGCATGCTGTTGCCAGAGTTTGCTGTGTCCATTGCCATAGGCACACCACCAGCAGCAAGGAAGCTCGAATCTTGAGGTGACTGACTTCACTTGTCTGTTCAGTCATGTCTTGAGCTATACAGCCAAAAGCACACTAGGGTAGGCTTGTATCAGGACTTTCCTGCAAAACTACTATTTCCCCTGACACTGTGGGAAAGCACTCTGCTTTTTGTGGCTGCACTCTTCCTGTTTCTTTAGGGGCGGGGAAAGGATTTTATTTTACATCATCAAATTCTTAAAAAAGCAGGGCTAAGCAACAATGCACCACTGACTCCATTAAGAGAGCAGCAGGTTAAGAGCAAGATGTAACATCACATAAGTTGATTTTCAAAGGGTTTTGCAAGTTGATATACAATTAAAAATGAATGCAAATTAAATCAGTGTGTGAACTTCAGTCCTCTCAGACTATTTCATTGTGACTTAGAGTTCCTAATGAATTTAGAAACTTCCAAGGATTTAACTATCAGATTGCAATGTAAGTCCATCCATCCACTCAGATTTTCTAATCCTGATTGTTAATTGTTTTCAAGTTCCTTCACTATGGATCAGGAGACTCTTGAATAATTTTCCAAAGCCAGTGTAACTGCGTATGGATACCATGAAATCAAGAGAAAGAATACTGTCTTCCCCACAGGCTGCAAGATCAGCCCCGAGACCAAAACTTAAAATAGCTGCAATAGCCTCATCAGAGACCTCTCTGATCCCCACATCCCTGGGATTTAGGTAAGAAAAGACAGTTGCTCAGCAAAATCGTACAGAGGCACAGACATGTTGCCTGTAATCATCGCCTGCTGCTGGGTTTCAATTCCAAAATGTCTTCCCTCATACAAACACATATGGAAACTTCCATCTCTGCTTTATGAGTAGACAGTTTGCTTGCTCCCCCCCACTCCCCACCCTTTATTTTCATTGTACCGTAGGGTTTGCTTCTTCTGTAGCTTGTGGTTGCTTTTATGTGTACACAGAGAAGATAGTATTTAATATTCAATCCCATTCTCAACTGAACAGATGAATTCTGATGCAGAAGCAATTTTTAACTGATTCTTTTCCACACAGCATGTGATGACAAATAGGTTAAGGCAAGGGAGAGTCAGATCTGTGAAGAGAGATGAGCACCTCTAGAAAATGCCATGCCTACAGCATTTGACACTTGCCCTGATAATTCTTCAGTTTCATACACATCCAATGAATCCTGAATAAATTTCCCACACAGACACCATCACTCTTCCTTCAGCGTGTTCTACACTTTCTTCCTGAAGATACATTGATGGACCTCAGAGAGTAGGACAGTCAACACACTGTTCATAGAATCACAGACTGGTTTGGGTTGGAAGGGACCTTAAAGATCACCCAGTCCCACCCCCCCTTCCCCAGGCAGGGCCCCCTTCCCCCAGCCCAGGGGGCTCCCAGCCCCGTCCAACCTGGCCTTGAACCCTTCCAGGGAGGGGGCAGCCACAGCTGCTCTGGGCACCCTGGGCCAGCGCCTCACCCCCCACAGGGAAGGATTTCTTCCTAATATCTAACATAAATCTCCCCTCTTTCAGTTTAAAACCATCACCCCCTCGTCCTACCTCCACCCCCTGATCCAGAGTCCCTCCCCACCTTTCCTGTCCCCCCTTTAAGCCCTGGGAGGCCGCTCGAAGGTCTCCCCGGAGCCTTCTCTTCTCCAGGCTGAACCCCCCCAACTCTCTCAGCCCGGCCTCCCAGGGGAGCTGCTCCAGCCCCCCCAGCATCTTCGTGGCCTCCTCTGGCCCCGCTCGAGCAGCTCCATGTCCTTCTGCTGTTGGGGGCCCCCGAGCTGGCCCCAGCACTGCAGGGGGGTCTCCCCAGAGCGGAGCAGAGGGGGAGAATCCCCTCCCTGGCCCTGCTGCCCCCCCTGCTCTGGCTGCAGCCCAGGGCACGGGTGGGTTCTGGGCTGCGAGCGCACGGTGCTGGCTCACGGGCAGTTTTCCCCCCCACCAGCACCCCCAGTCCCTCTCCTTGGGGCTGCTCTCCAGCCGCTCCTCGCCCAGCCTGGGTTTGTGCTGGGGATTGCCCCGGCCCCTGGGCAGGGCCTTGCCCTTGGCCTTGTTGCACTCCATGAGGTTTGCCCGGGCCCCCCTCTCCAGCCTGCCCAGGTCCCTCGGGATGGCATCCCTGCCCTCCCGCGTGTCCCCGCACCACACAGCTCGGGGTCGTGGGTGAACTTGCTGAGGGTGCATCGATCCCACTGTCCGTGTCACCAACAAAGGTGTTAAACAGCGCCGGGCCCAGCCCCGGCCCCTGAGGAACGGCGCTCGTCACTGCTCTGCCCTTAGTTTTTGGGCTATTCAGGGATGTACCTGTGTTCCTGTCGTGGCTTGGAAACAATCAGATAGGCTTGTTATGCAACAGACCCTTCTGGTTTTAAAAATGTATGCTGCAAAACTGCTTGTACTCTTAAATGCAATAGGTGAAACCTTTCTATCAAAAGATGACATACAAACTGTCTGCAAGGAGGCAGACGACACAGGTCTCTGCCATCAGTTTTTTCCACATAATACCCCTAGAAGGCCAACTGTTATGTTTCAGAAACTAAAACCCTCATACTTCTGTCACACAGGAGATCCCCTCTTCCCACACAGCACTGCTCCTCACACTCGTCACAGCCCGTCCCACTCACACTGCACTGGAAACACAGAGACACTGCCTGCTGCAGCCGCTGCCCAACTGGCCATGGAGAGTCCTGGACACCACAGTTCCTGGATTCAGCCCCCCCCAAATCAAGATTCCTTTCATCAGCTCTTCCAAACAGCATAACCACAATGCTTGGGCAACACAGGGACAAGGAAGGTTTGCGGGTGCTGTCCTTGTACAGAAAACACTGCACTCAACAGCGTACAAAACTTTGTCTCACCCTCTTCAGAACTTTGCGGAATCTTACAATAAAGACAAGTTACTAGGCAAAGCACTTGGACATTGCAGCAATACACTCTGCAGACCAGTAAGTTGTGACCATTTCTGAATTGCACACAAGCCCTGACCAACACTGAGAATATTTCTATTATCCCTGGCTTCTATAAGAATAGGCTAATAAATAAGGAGAACTTGTTTCAAAGTCCTTACTATGGTTAAGATTCACCCCAGGGCACAGTGGCTGTGCTATCATTTGAAAATACTCCTCCTCACACAACAGGACAAGGAATATCTGGAGCACACTGAGCCCCTCCACCTTGCTGTGGCTGCAGCCAGAATTCCTGAGGGCAGAGCAGCCCACATCTGCCCTGATAACAAGTGCTGCTTCTGCTCTTGGAAACAGCGTGCTAGCCAAACTCTCCCTTACACCTCCTCCCACCCTTTGCTCCTTCCCCAGAACAGGCCAGCACAGCAGTGGTATGTGGCACCAGCAACTTTTAGAAGCTCCTCAATGCATACATAAAGTGATTGTAGACAGGAGGGGATACACCTTCCCACTCAGTCCAACACTTTCCCTGGCTCTGCAAATCTTCCTCAGAGTCTGTGAAAGAGGTGTTCAGTTTCAACTGCATGAAGAAAGCAAGAACAAATGACACATGAAGAAAAGCCAAATTTCTTGAAATCAGTTCTTCGTCATCCCAGCAGCACCTGCCTTTGAGGTCAAGTGCTTCCAGTTTCATTAAAATGTAGTGTGTAGGCTCCTTGCAAACATGAAAGGGCTGCAAACCCTCTTATAGTAGCTGGCAACACTGACAGCAACTGTGTGACATGTTACTTAAGAGTAACTCTGACAAATCATTTATTCATGAGGTGTGCAGCAAAGAATGGAACTCAGGAATAGGAGGAGATGGGATCAGCCCTGTTGCTGAGGGACTTACCCAGGGCTGCAGCTCAGGCTCCCCAGATACTCCCTAAATCCTTGTTATGCGTACTTGTACCCTGGGTGGAGTCTCCTATCATACTGATGTGGAGGAGAGAAACCCTGTTAGGACCCTGGCAGCCATTCTGATGCCAAAGCTGTGGTCCTGAGGGGCTGAGAGTCATTTAGCCTCATTTTCTGGAAGTTACACCTCAAGGCCATACCACAGAATATCTGGCACACCAGTTACTGACAACTAATGCTACTGAATAACCAACAGGATGAACTGTTACTTCCAACAACAGCTGGGATGGGTGATTTTATAACTGACAAAGACTTGAATGGTAGAAGACCAGGTCTTTAAGTTAGGCACCACACTTAGTCTCCTGATGCCTTCATTTCTTCATCTTTTAAATGCAGGGGTAGCAATAAACTAGACCATGCCTATCAGAAGGGATGAGGACAGTGTAATGGTTCCAGATGGAGGAATCGTCCATTCCCCTGAAACTCAAATATGGACATTAATAACTAGCACTGCCTAAATACCAAATATGAACATTAATCATCAGACTTTTGCTCAACATCATAAACACAGCAATAGAGAAAGGACCTCCAAAGGTCCTACCGAGACAAGTGGCAGGCGGTATATAAGGGAACCCTAAGCCTGGCAAAGGTTGCAGGCAGGCAGTTAGCATATGTGATATCAAATACTTGGTGTTTATCAGAAAAGGAACTAATAATTTCTTTCCTTCTATCTTTTTTGTTGTCGTGGGGTTTTCTTCTGAATTCATCTCTACATGTTTTCATTCTCGTTCAAGCATTACAGTCATGCAAAGGTACTTCCAGATGATGGAACATTTACAGTCAGATCACAGACACTAGTTGTACATGTCAAGTCTAAATCTCTAGAGTCAGCAGTGACCTTTGAGAGACAGCTTCACTATCTGGCTTTAAAATCTTCAGGGGCTTTCTACAGCTAACCTTACCTGCCTCTGATGTAGGGTAGTGACATTTCATCTGTCAATTCCTTTCTGGCTCAGTCGTGTATGTGATGTCAATGCTGCTAAGTTCTGCGCTGCTGCCTGATCTGGTAGGGTTTCCAGCTCTTTCTGCACCTACTGATAGAACAAATGCCTATTTCACTCATCAATAAGCAGTAGTTCTCCCTACCTCATCACCTGACTGACCAGTGGGTTTATTCAGCAGCAGCAGCTACAGGATTAACTAGAAAATATTTGACTGAGACTTTTCAGAAATTAGGAATCCTCACCGTCTTTATCTTCACATATAAGCAGAGGTTCTGTGGCCTGCAGTTCCTTTCAAACCGTGTGACCCGCATTC